TGTATCTGTACCATTTGTGAATTCATAAGACTGAATGCATTGAAGTTATCTCTTAGATGAATTTAGATCATTCCTTTACAAGAAAAGTTTCCAATTACCACAGCTGAATTCAAGATCTGGAATATTCCTCCAGTGGCTGTAATCAAATCAGATTTGATTTCTTCCTTAGCTAAAGCCAGACAAGAAAGAATTTAGTAGAACTGGAAAACAACTTACATGTTAAGAATATTTAAGTATATTTAGGTAGCTTGTTTTTTTGTTGTTGTTGTTTTATACTTTTTTTTTTTTTTTTTTTTTTTTACTTTGCAGGCATAACTTGCATCAAGAATCGGTGAAGGTTAATGATCACATCCACCAAAGCGAGCTTTGGCTTAGCAGCAACACAGAGGACTCACTCTGTCATGGCTGAGTCATGGTGAAACGTCAGAGAGTTGCTGAGTTTCTCCAGATGTGCAGTAGAAAACGCTCTTCAATAGGCTGGGAAGAGACTGGGAAGGCATGGGGAAGATAAGTCATGGCTTCCCCTACAGAACAACATGACCAGGCACCCTTTGCCTGTAGCAACTTGTAGGTTCATCAGGAAACCTTGAGAGCTCAGCCCAGTTGTGTTCTTGCAGGTTAGGAAAGAGCAAGGCGAACACAATACACCGCACTTTGATGGGATCAACAAAGTCATTGTGGTCTTTTTCTAAAGCAGTGGATATTAATGAATACTAACTTCTGAGCAACTTTTTTTTTTTTTTTTTTTTTTTTTTTTTTTTTTCCTCCCTGCTTTAAAGTAGAAAGATTAGATGAAAATGTATTTTGTGAAGCATGTGCTGACACCCTCAGGTAATCTCCATCCTCTGTCCTCATCAATAATCTAACATTCTACCTTCTCTGTTACATTACTGTCTGCAGTAATGCAATTCACTTTGGTCCCCTTAGATCCTATTAGAATCTCTCACATTACAAAATTCTTCCAGCTCTGCTGTACAGTGCACTGGGATTGTTTAGTCTTAACTTCTTCTGGCTGTTTTCCTCAACTACAATTCTTTGCACAGGAACTGACTTTTGTGAATTGCACATTTAACCTAGCACTGAGTGAGAAGATCAAAATAAGTAATGCACATGGGTATTGTCCTATGGGGTCTCTAAAGCACTCTGATTCTGCTTTGAACACTGGTGAATGTATCTTGTTATAATGAGTTCCACTATCTAAAGTACTTTCTTCTATCAGTTTTGATTGTTGTCTTTTAATTTCATTGCATGTGTCCTTTGAAAGGATAAATAGGCATGGGTAAATAGAAAAATCCATTTTTACATATTATTCAATCCCTTACGTACCTCTTTTGTATTACATCTTACTTTTCTCCTCTCCGAAGTAAAACAGCCTTAATGTTTTGTTTGTTTGCTTTTTCTAATATGGAAATCTTCCCATATCTCATAATTTGTTGCTGTTATTTGAGCAGATGTCTTCCTGGAATTCTCCACAGTTATTGACAAGACAATCACTCTCAGTGATGATATCTAAATAGAAGTGCTTGATGTGCATTGACTGAGGTCTTTTTTGGCTTCTCCGACAACATCAAGGTCTTAAAGTAGGCAGAAATGGCTCTCCGACAACACGCTTACAAGAACTGCAGTAGAAGGTGGAAAAATGTGGAAAGCTCTTTTATCTCCTTCATTCTTGTTGCCAGAATGTCTGTGAAATACCATTTTTGCACCCAGTGTAAAATGCCACTTTGCACCCAGTGTAATGCTTCCTAAGTTTGAGAAAACCATTCTTGTCTTCTTAACCGAAAATGAATCTCTGACGAACTCGGCGATGTGAGATTCACTCTCTGATCTCCAGTCTTATCTGATTCATTTCTCTCTAATCCGCAGTATTTTTTAGATTCTGGATTTTGGAATATCCACTGTTTGCAAACGTGATTCTTCCTATATTTCCTACCTACCTATGTTGTAGCATATACTGATGTGTTGAAACTCATGAGGCCTGACCCTCTGGCCCACTACAACAATGGGGTAGAATTCTTGTGATAATTATCTTAAACCAGGGCAACTTCAGTCTTTTGATAATTACTCCTCATTTACAATGATAGAAATAAGAACAGAACTGAGTATTTTGATGACACTAAGCTTCTTACAGTAGGTATGTGGAAGGGGCTGGAGGACTGAAAAGGAAGAAGCTTTTAAATGGAGGAGATTGTAAAAACATTAACATAATGCAAAGCTGTCATCCAGGCTCTTGTATTACATGGAACTAAGTATAAGTAGCGTTACAAGAAGATTTACTTTTGTAAAAGCAAAGGAATTCACATGTTTTCACAGCAGGGAAACTTTATAGCAGCTAAAACCTCAGGTCTATTTAAGTAGCATGCCCTTTGTGGTTTTGCTTATCAGTTTTGCTTATTAGCAAATGGATTTGTGCTGAAAGTCCCCTCATTGTCCCCAACTCCCTGCATCACTGTTCCCGCAGTGCAAATATAAGACTAAATTATGCACTTCGTCATTACCAGGAGGTCCAGATGGATCTCACACTGCTGCAGAACGGGCTGGACAGGAAAAACACTGCAGCAGCAGCAGCAGCAGCCTTTCCTTCCAAGGCCCAGCAGGGCGGTGTGGAGAAGTTCTGCAGACCAGAGGGATGGAGAAGTATCTCTGTGCGTAATACTCCAGCTTACCCCAGGTTTTCCCTGGTTTACCAGAGAAAAGAACTGAAACTCAACACCGTGTTGTCACTTCAGAGAGGCTTTCTGTCCTGCCTTGTGCTTGTTTTTCAAGGGTTATAAAGTACTTCTGTTCCAGGGCACTGTATGTGGATATTAAATTTTCATCACAAACATGATGCCATTTTTGATTTCAGTATTTATCTGTCTTCTGGTCTTATATGGCCACACTTACAGTAATATCTCATACCTCACAATCTTTAACACGTTATTTAGCCCTCCAAAAAGTATGTGTATGAAAGGTATCTGAAAATAAGCAATAAACTATTTTAATATCGTTACCATCTGAGCCCTGGATCTTTGAGAATTTCCTTCTCATTAATTCTGAAAAGCTGTTCATAACCTTGAGACTGATAATGCATATAAAATGTCTTTATCTAAGTGCAACCTCCCTTAATCTACGTAGCAGAGGTGTGCAATTAAAATAGGGAATTTTTTCCAGCTCCTACACTACAGAACCCTACCTTTTGCTAAGACAAAAAAGGAAAAAAAAAAGGGAAAAAAAAAGCTTTTTTTTTTTTTTTTTTTTTTTTTTCCACAGCTATTACAGAAGTCACAACAATGTCCAGAGAAGGACTACAAAGATGGTGAAGGGGTCTAGAGGGGAAGACAGAATCACAGAATTGTAGGGGTTGGAAGGGATCTCAAGAGATCATTGGCTCCCACAGCCCTGCCAAAGCAGGTTCCTTAGAGCAAGCTGCCCAAGTAGGCATCCAGACGGGCCTTGAATATCTCCAGAGAAAGAGACTCCACAACCTCCCTGGGAAGCCTGTCCCAGTGCTCCGTCACTCTCACTGCGAAGAAGTTCTTTCGCATATTGGTGAGGAACTTCCTGTGCTCCATTTTGTGGCCCTCGTCCTGTCCCCACAAGCCACTGAAAAGAGGTTGGCCAAATCCGTCTGTCTCCCACTCTTTCGTTAAACACTGGTAAGATCCCCTCTCAATCTTCTCTTCTCAAGGCTGAACAGAGCCGCATCTCTCAGCCTTTCCACACAGGAGAGATTCTCCAGGCCCCGTATCATCTTTGTGGCCCTCTGCTGGACTCTTTCCAGGAGATCCCTGTCTTTTTTTGTACTGGGGAGCCCAGAACTGGACACAGTACTCCAGGTGAGGCCTGACCAGGGCAGAGTAGAGAGGGAGAATCACCTCCCTTGACCTGCTGACCGTATGAGGATGTATGAAGACGTATGAGGAGTGGCGGAGGTCACTTGGCCTGTTCAGCCTGGAGAAGAGGAGGCTGAGGGGAGACCTCATCACGGCCTACAGCTTCCTCACGAAGGGGAGTGGAGGGGCAGGTGCCAATCTATTCTCTTCAGTGACCAGCGACAGGACTTGAGGGAATGGTGTCAAGCTGCAACAGGGGAGGTTCAGGTGGGACATCAGGAAGAGGTTCTTCACTGAGGGTTGTCACACAGTGGAACAGACTCCGCAGGGACATAGTCACAGCACCGAGCGTGTCAGAATTTAGGAAGCGTTTGGACTGTGCTCTTAGTCACATGGTCTGAATTTTGGGGTAGACCTGTGTGGTGCCAGGAGTTGGACTCGATGATCCTTATGAGTCCCTTCCAACTTGGGGGATTCTATGATAATGAGGCCTGCATTTCCAGTTGTTTATTTATTTTAAAGGACTGAAGTCTACAGATGAGTATCACTAGAAATAGTTGATACCACTACTCTCTGCTCTGACATCTAATATTCTCTCCATCTTTTTTTTTTTTTTTTTTTTAATGAAAACAAAACACTTTGAGAGTGTTGATTCTTCCCAAAGCACTTAGCACTGTCAGCCTTTGAAATTGTAAAAATAAAATAATCAAGGCCAGCCACAGGATGCATTTGAGCCATTGTCTTCTTTTGGAGGCAATTAAAAATGCCCGCTGAGTTGCTTCCCCTTTCTACAGCCGTATATATGAAATTGGAAAGAATATTTAAAGGCTTAAACCCCCTCAGATGGGGTGAATTGTGGTTAGAAACACAGAAATGGGGCTGTTTTGGTGTAACATGTTTGTGATCACTCTGTGAACACCTCAGCACCACAGCAGCTGGGGAAGGCCCTGAAGCAGTCACAACCCCATTAGGGAATCACCCCGTGAAATCAGCGGGGGCAGCGGTGTTTGAGACGAGCTGCACACATCTGACACAGGCACCTAAACCCAGGCGCAACCCCAGGATGCACCCAGACAAAATTAATAACAATTAAAATAAAAAGCGGGGCGCAAAGCACTGTGGGAAGGGGCAGTGACGCAGGGCACTGTGGGAGCGCCGGGCACGGCTTAAGGGCGGCTCCATGCGGGCGCGGCGCATGCGCGGGGGGAAGGCGGAAGTGCCGCTGTTGCCATGACAACGGCGTCCGGCATGCGGCGCGCCTGAGGCCCAGCGGGCCGGGAGCCGCCGGACCCCCCCCCCGGCCCGGCCCGGCCCGGCCCCCATGGCACGGAGGGCGCTGCGCTGCGTCCTGCGGCTGGAGATCCGCGAGGTGAGTGCCCGGCCCCAGGAGGAGGAGGAGGAGAAGCCCTGGGGATGCGGGGGGAGCTGCTGGTGAGGGGCCGAGCCCGCAGCAGCTCCGCGGGGAGGCCTCGGGCTCCTCACGGGGGGAGAAGCTGCCTCAGCCCCTGGGGGTGGCCGGCCCGGAGGGGCGCTCCGGCACGGCCTGCTGGGCCGCTTGGCACCCGCTGGCTGCTGCTGTCTGAGCGTGAAGCCGCCCGGCGGGCCGTGTGCTGCCGCGGTGCCTGGTGCCAAAAGGAGGAGGGGCTGCGGCGCCCCGCGGGAAGTTCAAGTGCAGGCCCGGAAAGTGCACGCTGGGAAATCGGCCTGGTTCCTGGTTAATTGACCACCGTTGTTCACAGACTTGTAGGGCTGCTCTAAACACAGCTCTGAGTTTCTCAACGTACGTGGAGAGGGTGTCACCCTAACCGTGTTGCTCTGCTGGGTTTGCATAATGCAGAGGCCTGCTTTTTTCCTGGAAAGCAACAGATACTCTTTATTCTGTTCCTCCACGTGTGGGTTTTTGTAACACAATGACCTGTTTCCTTTTCCTGGAAAGGAGCAGATGTACTTTCTTCTGCTACTCCTCACATACCAGTAGAGATTACAGGGATGGTGTTCTCTCAGGGCTGGGCTTCTTCACCTGCGGGGCATTTGTTACTCACCCCGCTCTCAGGCCTACAATAGTGGAAGGGGACAGAACAAGAAATCTCCCAACACAGATCTCAGTGCCCCTTTCAGCATGTGGGTTGTTGAGCCATGTTCCAACAGCACTATGTAACTTGTACCAGATAACCTTTTTAATAAGTTATTTAGTCTGCTTTTTTGTACCACTTATTTTGCCTCTCTTCCCACTGAAGCCCTCACTTCATTCCTGTGATGGTTTAAAAACTCTCCAGCCTCCACTAATACCCCCCTTTTACACTCATGTCAACACTGGCTTTTCGCTGATTTTTTTTTTCCTTTTCTTCCTTTCCCAGTGTTTGCTCTCTTGATGTGTTTTATGGGCAGCAGTTCTGTCATTTCACAATTAATCTTTACCAGATAAAGAAACCTGATTCTTTTAGTAGCATCATGTATGGCAGGCTTACCAGTCTTCTGATCACCATAGGGATGGGTGCTACTCTTCCACTTTGAGTTTGCATTGATCAGGGTTAGAATTGAATGCAGCGTTCCAGATGGAGTCTCACTGTTGCCTTAGATGATGTTAGGAGAGGTCCAAAATTCATCCTTCATATCTCAATGTTAGTCTCTTCACAGCTGCACTGTGGTTATACTGTCATTTATTAACACACTTGCCTTCTCTTCAGCCAGCATTGAAGATGAGCTCCCTGAGTAAAAGAAGAAACTGTTGTTAATACACAGTAGGTGTATCTCATTCCTGTCTCTGATTTATTCTATATCTTTTTCTCTACCACTGATGATTTCTGAATTGTAATTGGAAAATTTCATGAGCATAATCTGACTTCTTGTGCCAGGGCCATTAAAATGTTTAAAGACATGGATTGGAGGATATATGGATGATTGTTTTTTCATAGTAACCCCAAGCTGATGCTTTCCAGTTTAGCCTATTACTGGTGCTGTCGTTTGCCCAGTTCTGTACCACCTTAGTACTTTCAGACTCGTATCTTTTGCATCATAAATAATAATTTGTCACTTGGCATCATATGATGTTTCTGATGTCCAGATAAATCAGATATCCTTTGCCCAGAAAACAGGCTTTCAAGTAAAAGTTGAGTTTTGCTTGACTGGTCTATTTTTATTAAACATGTGCTGCTGGGCTGCTTTTTTTTCTAGGCATGTTTTTCATCCATATCCTTTGTTCTTTGCTTTTGTGTGTTTAAGTATTCTGATTGAGAGGGTTATAATTTTCCAGGACTTTTTCTGCCTCACATGGGCCTTTCATTTGCTACTTTCCAGTCAGCTGTTGCTGTCCTTGTTTTCATAACACAGGTTTTAGTTACATATCCAATGGAGCAAGAAATATTGTGTTCTTTCAGAACCTGGGCTGCAAGTGATTCAGCCTCCCAGTGGCTCCATTACCTAGGCACATTGGATCATTTCCATAATCTCTTTCTTTACATTTTTTTCTCCTGTATTCAGTATCACAAAAAGCAAGGAAAAATATTCAGTTGTGTTTGGGATGTAATTTGTTAATTCTCACATCCTGGTTGATTTCTAATCTTGCTTTTTCCTTGTTTGCTTTATTTACAAATAAAGCCCAATCTGTTTGGATTTCTGGTTGGTTTTCCTATTTTTTCCAATGTTCTGCATATTTCTATGCCCTCTTGGAAATCCATCCGTTTGTGTCAAAAGTTCTGTCATATTCATTTTTCCATTGCTTTAGGATACATGTTCTAGATTGGTTTTGCTCCTTTTGGCTTAATGAAATTCCAAGGTCTTTTTCTATCTGAATGCACGAGCTCTTTGGTTTATTTCATTGCTAGTTTTCTTCATTTCTGAAAGGCTGCTCTTCTAAAATTGAAAACCTTAGTTAAAGACCTTATTTGGTTTATCCTGCCATTAATTTAAATTGAATAATTCATGATTGCTCAGACTGAGATTTCATTGTTATTTGTTTTCTGAGACTAATTTTGGTGCCTACCTCTGCTGCTGGCATTTAGATTGCTCATGTAGCAACAGAATGAAATTCACATTATTCTTCATGTCATTGCTACTTGGAGAATTCACAAATGCGGCAGTGAAGTAGGTAAAGCTTTAAGCACTAAGATGAATTAATAGCGTTGTGGATTACTGCCAGGTAAGGAGACTAAAATGGCATCTCTTCACGTTGAGAAGATTATTTTTGCAACTCAAAGACCAAAATGCTATTCTTTATGGAAGCTTGCGCTCTACAGAAGTTAATACTGTCTGTTGCTCTTAGTACTGAACTCTCCCTGTGTGGTGGCAATGGGCTTTTAAAAACATTTTTTGGGGGACAGGACCTTTTTCATTGGTTGCAAGTGCATGCTACAGCTTTAGGACTGAGTGTAGAGGGAAAAAAAAAGTTGTATGGGATTGTGTTGCAGTGGAATTTCGTTCCTTCCCATGAGAGGAATTCAGTGATTTTGTGGCAGAATGTGATGTCCCAGCACCAGGGATGGTACATGTTGTCTGTCCTTCTGGCAACTGAAGCAGAGAAGTCTGGAGTAACACTGTCCCAGCCAGTTACCTTCACGAGTAGTCCTTCTCATTGGTTTTAAGATCAGTTAATTGCAGCACTGATATCCCTCCTGCTGAGTTGATCCATAGGTAATGCTATTACGATTTTTATAATGGTCCCTCATTCTTCCTGAATGGTTTACAGTCAGGTAAGAACTTAGCTTGTCTCTTAGGTGTTCTGCAGCTCCATGCACCACATATTGCAAAACGAATTCCATGAACTGCAGGTACATACCTGTCATTCATTTTTGGAGCTTCTTTAAAGTTTCATGAAGATGTAGATTTGGTGTTTTAGCCCAGGCAATGGATTGTGCAGTTTTTCTCCAGGATAATAGAAGAACAAGTTTCTACATGTGCTGATTTGTAGGAACTTCCTTTCTTCTATAGGATAGACAGAATAAATATCATCTAACTGCTGTTTGCAGTTTTATCACACCTGATGTCTTCAAACCTTTTACTTTTCATCTCAGAAAGTAGGCAAATACTGGTTGCCTTCTGTAAGGTGTGAAGTTCCAGCTAAAAAGAATCGTAAATTCAAGGGGAAAAGCCTCAGCCAAGCTAATAGAACTTGTAGTGTGTAGTTCAGGGGGTCTTGCCTTGTATGAATGAAATCTCTCTCTTTCACTCACTTCCATTAACACTTGCACCATGCTGTTTAATGATAGGCGTCCTGTTTCAATTGGGATGTCCGTTATTCTGGCAGTTCTCAGATCTGAAGCCTTAACTTAAGGGAGAGGACACCTTTCTTTTTTGTTGCTGTGTTGTTGTTGTTGGTTTTTTTTTCTTGGATATTTACGAGTAGAAACTTTTTTTTAAGGTTGTACTGTATAGCAATCTGTAACACACTACAGATATTATTTTTGTTATTTTTTTCACTAGAGACTGTTTTTTCTGCTGTTTATATAATTTTGGGTTAGATCCATTAACAATGTCTCAAGTAAACATTCATTTGGGAGTAAGAGACTGTAACCAAAGCACTTATTTTAATTCCTGTCACTCTGTTCCTTTGTCTTTCTGCCTTGCAATTGAAAGTCTGAACACTTTCTTTGGCAACCTTATGTTAGAAGAGACAACCTCATTTTTATTATACTGCTATAAAAAGTGAGCAGTAGAACTGAAGTGAAAGGTGACAATTCTTTGGCTGGGTAATAGAATAAAACCATGTGGCTTGGGAAAAATAGCAAATAGTTTTTGCAGTGATTTGTGTACATCATTGCAGTAGAAACACAGGTAAGAATATTTGATGTTCATCAGAGCTTTAAAGGCACACCAGCTTCTTACTCAAGGAATAAGAATGGCCCAAAGAAAGTCAAGATATTAGTGGCAATATCTGGTAGCCTAATGAGGAGTCTTCCCTGCCTTGAATATGCTCCGGGTGGCCAGACTTCTTTTATAAAAATTTGTGACTTCCCACAGTAATGGAACAACGTTTGATTTTGTCACTTACATATACAACTGCAAAGTTAATTATAATAATGTGAATAAACTTGTATTTTTTGATAGTTGGTCAGAGCATGGAAATCTAAGCATGTAAATTTACCAGCTTCATTCTCTCAGTGAAGAGAGAGTTAGGCTAAAATTTGATTTTTTTTTTTTTTTTCTCTGCATCAGGTAAACTTCATTATAGATTTCTGTCACTCTTTGTTTAGAATCTGATGTGACCCTTGATGATTAAATCATCAATAGTATCATTAAATGCACACACAGACTAACCTGGAATTGGGATACCAGTTTTAGGTTTGGCTGAAGACCAATGGAATGTGTTTACTTACAGTAAGAAGAATTTGATCATGGTTATTTTACAGTGGTGACAATTTTTCCTTGTCACTCTGTACAAATAGAACTGCTTTAGAAATGTTTCCACTCTAATTCATTGTCACCTGACTCTCAGCAATCAACCGTTTCAGCCTTGACCATTTCGTTTTTATCCTGAAAACAGCCATTACTCCTGTAACTAAAGTTCAGTTTTTTTAATGAATGTGTTACTATTACAGATAACTTGCCCTGGAGTGCAGCTGAAAGACAAAGAGGAGCTCTATCTCAGTGTCTCTCTGCTTGGGCAGTACAAAAAAACTCGGCGCGTCCCTGCAGCATTTCCACTTTTCTTTCAAGAAAAACTAGTGTTTGAAAAGGTAAGATAGTGTCAACTTCTGATACAAGGCAAATAAAACTCATCCCACACTCACAGAAACTCATTGCAAAACCCCCAAGTGCAAGTAATCACACTGAGGATGGCATAGTATTATAGCTCCTGCTTCTCTTGAGCACAAAGGAGGCGTATGCATCCCTTATCCACACAGTGACTATAGAAATATGCATAGTGAAAATTTATAATATTTTATTTTTTAGGTGTTTGTACTTTCTTACACAAACTGGCCTTTTTCAGTGTCTTATTTCCTAGCATGGAAGGAACTAAATTTTGTTTTTAAAATCAATGGCAAGGTGTAAAAACAAGGGCGGTAAGATCCATTGGGAGAGTCGATTTGGGAGAGTCGATTTAATTCAGCAGAAAATAGAATTGCAACTCAAGTCTTCTTGGTGACATCCTTCTCCCTTTCAGTTACTTTTTTCATGGTTTGTCACCAGAATTCCCAGGTTAGTATATGACCTTATAATTTATAGTTGTTTATCACGTATTCTGAGTCCCCACTTGCTTCATTATTAGTACCACAGGGATAATGAAACACAGAATCTTACAGATAGGATCTGGTTTCTTGACTACCTGTGCATAATAATACTTTGCCCTTTCTAGTTCTTTTCTTTTAAGCATCCCCTAGCACTGAAAACCAGACAGAGTAAACATCAGTGATACTGTTGTGATGTAGGTAATATAAAAATACTGATAATCTTGCCAACCACTGAAGAGTAAAAAGTAAATAAATAAAAAATAAAAGAACACAATATTTCTTTAAAGGTAATAATCCCACAATCTACTTAAAAGAAATGTAGCGAACACTGTTTTGGCTGTAATTTAAGGGAACTGTGGGACACTAGAACTTAACTGCTTACAGAAGACCTGAACAAGAAAGCTGAGAATAATGTCTTCTTACAAATAGCTATTGCATAGTTCTAGGTGCTTGTGGGGTAGCAGTACTTTGGTATTTTTGAGTGTTTGGTATGTAGAACAGCAAAGTGATTTACACCACTCCTCACTTAGTGCAGAATTTCAGGGAGGCCTATTACCTGCTTAATATCCTCTGCAACTTTTTTTCTTTTTCAGAAATTCATCCCCTATTCTTTGCCATCTGTTCACATGTGGTCCAGGTTAAAAAAAATAAAAAACTGAACGATAGTCTGTACATGAATAGTCACTCCCATGAAAACTAAGCTTAAAGTCATCTATCAGAATTCTAGTGCATCTAGCAATTTACCTTTCTCTCCTGAAATTTTTACAGATAATATTTCTCTGTGTTCAACTCTTCATAATGCCTCCTAATTTAAATATGGAGAGGTAACCCTGGAATGGTTAGAAAGCATATGACAAGAACTGCTAGCTTTCAATGAATTTGATCGTGTGCCAAATGATAATTTCAGATTCCTTTCTTTTTCCAGCGGGGATAGAACTCTTGGCAACCATCTGAAGCAGGGAAGAATATTGATTTTTATTTTTTTCTTCTTCCCCCAGAGGTCCATCTGGTGATTTTTGACTGTGCTGTTATTTTTATTCATGTATTTATTTATTTATTTATTTTCCAGACATTTGCTGATATAGTTGATCCTGCAGACCTTGTGAAGTTACTGGAATGTAGGTTCTGCTTTTTATGCATATTATGTTGTATGCATTTATGTCATGCTTGTACAGTTTTTAAACATGTTTTGGAGGTTTCAAGTATGTAATAGTTTTATCAAAGATTTGTTCTCTGAAAAGTTAGTGGGTAACCAATGTAGAATATGACATACTAAAAGTATTTAATTTTTAATTTTTTATTATTTTTTTTTAAAGCTAGGACACTAGCACTAGTGGTTTTTCAAATTAGATTTGTTGCTAGTGTAGGCATAAGTTCTTGCTGTTTTTTGGATACTACAACTTTACCCAAAATGCTGTTAACTAAGAAAATGCCTCTAGAACATATACTACATGCTTTAGAACAGAAGGGGTAAAAGTCCTAGTTAGCAGAATGACCAGCTGGTTATTCAGTCAGGTAATGGATTCCTCTGTGTGACAACGTATATGATTGTTTTTCAAATAATATAAGCATGAACTTTGATTTTTTTGGTAAAATGATTCTTTTTATATATTTTTTTCAAGAAAATGGCTTGTATCTACAGTAAGCAGTCTTGCCACATGTGGAGCATAATGAGACAGAACTGACCCTAAACTCCAGGAGTATGATCCCTAATACATGAAGTTATCTGAAAAAGATGTAATACTTGCATCATCTTTAAAAGCTGTTTTCAAAGGACAAACGTGGCAGCAGATGGAACTTATCAAGTTCTTAGTCAAATTTAGACTTGTCTTTTGTACTCTGCTAATGCCATTTTGTTCATCTGTAATACTTACACAAGCTGTTCTTAATTTTCTCTTATTGTTGGTGTTGCAGAAATAGCGTGACAGTGTACAGTGCTATTAAGGTTAAATCAGTGAGCATTTCTTTTTTTGACAATAAAAACTTTCTCATTTTAGTGTGTTTTTTTTAACTAATGAAAACTTTTCTTCCTTCCTAGTTGACACAGCAGTACTTGAACTAATACAGCTGGTTCCTCCAGGTATTGTTTCAGTCTCTTCATAAATTATGCAGTTTAATAGGTGAATTTCCATGAGGACATTGCCCATTATAGCACAATCACTTTTTTCAATACACAAACAACATAGAAAGCTCTTCAACAAATAGTCATCTGAATATAAAATGTTAATAGATCAAGAGGATCTCATTCTTGAAGGAGAGTAGTAACTGAATATTGAAATGTACCATATTCAAGCTTAGGAAAGTGATAATATTTTAAAAATGGAAAATAAACTGAAATCACCCAACACATCACGTATTAACTGCACCACAATTCACTTGTGAAGTGGCTGTCTGTGAAATTTCAGAGTGCATAATCTTGTTCTCAGAATGACACTTTTTTTTCCCTTCCATCCTAATGGTGACCACTGGGAAAAATCTTACCCTCACTATAAGTATTACAAGTACCTTGGGATATGTGATGATAATAAATAGTGATTTGTCATACTTCTGTTATTGGTTTGTGTGATTATAAAAATCTATTTTAATGAAATTCAAGTACTCCCATGAATAATGTAAGTCTGCATTTTATTGGAAATAAAGTCAAGTTTGAAAGAGGACTCATTTGGAAACTGGTATTAAAAACACTCTGTTACTTGTCCTCAGTAGTTTCAAAGAAACAATTGCTTTTCTCAGGTGATGCATGAGTCTATTTATTCAAGCAAATGTACTGAATGTGGATTTTTGTGGGAGGGTAAAAGATCTTGTGTAAGTAATTTAATTTCAGGGGTCAGAGGTAGATGTTATACACCCCAATGGAAGCTGGCAGAATGACTGTAATAGCACAACCTAAACTTCTTCATAATATGCAGTCATGATTTTTCCTTAAATATATATATATATATATTTAAGGAGGTTTTTAAAGAAGAAAGTAGCAAACAAGGATACTGAGAGAATCTTGAGGTACTGATTTTGATGTTGCTTGTATTTTCTTCTGACAACAATGCCAATTTTCAATTTAAGAAGCATCAATATTCTGTAACATGGAAAAAGTTTTTCAGAAGGGATTGGCTACCATTAATAAAACTACTAGTTTCTTCTCTGGCATGGAAAGTAAAGAAGGAAGAAAAATCATTGAAGTAGTTATTGCCATGAGAAAATGTCTGTATCTTAAAGAAGATTGCCTTAACAGCTCTATATTTCTTTAAATAACAGCAAAACATACTTTCAGGCTAAGTTTCTGCACATTTCTGTGCCTGATTTAACTAGATGAGGTTATTTCCTGGAGTTATTTCCTAGCCTTGCTGCTAATTTGTAAAGAACAAAATTTATCTTAGTTTGAATATGTCTTGTGTGTGATGTCTGTACTACTATATTATAGAATTTTCTGTTTTCCAATTAAAGTATATATTTTCTTTTTAGTAGGAGAAATTCTAGCTACTTATGAAGAAAATACAAGAGATTTCCTGTTCCCTGACCCTAAGCTTACCCGTCGGCACCATGGTTTAGATCGTGAGATTTTAATGAAGAGGTCCTCTTCTTTTACAGTGAGTGAATATCTGTGGATTGTATTTATGGTACAGTGTGTTTCACTGGAGAAACCCGTTGAACTTCTTCAAATGAAAAGCGATTTCTTCTGACAGATTTTGCCAGTTCAGGTGTTGAATGTACAAATCCACAGTTGCACTTCAGTGAAGGTATATACATTTTTTTGAAATGCTTCAAAAAGCGTTTAATGTGGAAAAGTTAGTTTCCAGTTGGCTTGCAGTGTGGTACCGTGACATGTCTCTATTTCAATTTAATCCGCAATGCAGTTGGTAGACGAAGGGATGCAAGAGAAAAAGAGGGAGACCTTGTACCAACTCCATGGTTCTCAATGGATAAACCACATAACCCTCGTTTCTTTTTAGCACTTTCAGACCATTTTTTGTACTGTTTAGGACAATGCCAGCCTCTACAAATTTATATAGTGCTATGCCATCTGATCTGTGGGCCTCCCCAATGTCCAAAATCACCACTAAAATAGTAAGTGACTGAAATTTGGCTTAGTGTTGTATGATTGTTGTTAAGTTCCAGAGCCTGTTCCTCAAGGTCTATCCATAACTTTAATCTACAGTTTTACAAAAGCCTATGATAAATGACAACTAATTGGCAAAATGAGTGCAATGAATTAATGTTAATTTTTTGGAGATATGGGCTCAAGTACATATTAAATGAAATACCCTTTCATAGAGTTTGACTGTTGAACATTAGATTTCAGTGGAGTACCTCAGGAAGTCATGTCAAGGACGATGGAAGTGATGTAGGAGATGTTTTGGAATTTGTTTTGTGTGTCTTATTTTGGTTAAGTTGTACTAGTGTAGTGGCAGGACATTTGTATTGGGACTCAGTTCCCTTGTCTGTTGTGATTGGATTAAAAACAAGTTGTGGGGGTGGGAGGAAGGCTGATTAAAGGTCATTGGTATCGTTTAACTGGTATAATCTTTCCCCTGCAACGGCAACCTGGAAATTGCCCTGTCACTTGCAATTAGAAGTGCTAATTTGGTGTGCAATGCTCTGCTGCATTTGAATGAATTCAGGCTATGATTTTATGATACAAAATGTGTGGTTCTACAGCAAGCTTAAGCTGTCCCTGTAAAAAAAAAAAAAAGCCATTGTTTTTAAGTCATAGTGTTTTATGAATGTTATTGGTGGCTCAAGAGAGAGGGTGAGACCACAACAGCCTCCATTTAGATGGGTTTTAAGTTACCACAGCTCAGAACCTAGCCTTCAGTACTGCATCCTTGTATCCTGCTGTTTATTTTTTCTTTTCCATTATTTTATCATTCTTCTCTGGGTGTAACCACACTATTCAACAGTTCAGGGAAGTAAGTGTTAAAAAATATTTGTCAGTAAAACCATACAGAAAGGATGGCCTTAAATACGAGCTGTTTTCAGTACAGTACTCTATATGGCCACACAAACAGTTGTTTTGGTATTGTGAGTGAGGAGAAATACCTTAAGAAGTTTTTGGTGTTGCCGCTTTATTCTCTTAAACTGAAAGCCTGTTCTGCAGAGCTGCTGCAACATTCATACAGTAAATTTGAATGAATTTTAAGTAAGTCTTCACTGAAGGCGTGCTGGAGTTGTCTTATTTTTTCACTGTTATTTTAAAATGGTCTTTTGCTATACGCAGGTCTTGGACAAGAATGTTGACATTTGCTATGTTAGTTACATAAGTGCTTTACACGATTCCTCTATTTTTGAATGGCATCTATATTATAAAACGTTAGTGAGACATCCAAGATACCTGTTCCTGTTTTGTCGTATTGTTGCTTATAGAATGGTTTCTTCCTGGTTTTGAAAAAGAAAACAGATAACTTGGTAATAAAGTGGAATTGCCAAAATGGTTTTAGACTTTTTGAAGATTCAGAATTATGAATCTCTAGAAGCAGAGCCATTAGAGCAGTTAGTGTTTTGTTTTTATTGTGTTTTTGTTGGATTAAGTTCTTTAATACAAAATATGTATTTTCTAATAAAAAGGTGTCATCTTTTTATCAGCTGTGAGAAGATGTGGTCAGAATCATTCAGATGTGCAGCTGAATTATAACACTGTAGTAGCTTTCAGATGTTGACTGATGAAAGACAGAAATGTCCTTCCATGTCCTCAGGAGTAGTGTAAATGAAATCCATCTCTGCCCTAAAATGAGGAGTGCAGAGAAGCCTCAGTTACTCTGTTCCATCTCCATCAAAGAAAATCAGAACAGTTTAAGAAAGGATTTTCACATACTGACCCCATTTTCAGGAATAATAAAGAAGCTGTGTTTGATGGAAGTGGAGGGAGGCTCTCAAAAGTACTTGTGGCTCCTCTCCTTGGTTGTCAAATGGGACAGCAGTGAGAGGATTTTTACCTCCAGAAGAAGTGCAGTCTCAAATGTCTCCATCTTCTAGTGTTCCTGGAGCGTTACTGGCAATTACCTCCTGGCAGCACCGTAGCACTGAATGTAAATGCTAAACAAAAGGCAAAGTGTTAAACAAGATCCTGAAAACCAAAATCGCTCATGTTATTTCTATGCTGGTCAAGTTGTGTTCTTCCTGCATTAAAAACTTATTTATGGCTAGCTGAGATGTTGGGTATTTTTGACTGACAGCAGTGCTTCAGAGGCACTTTGCTTCCCAATAAATTTGTCTTTTATTTAAAAAAAAAAAAAAAGAGGTAGCAACAGCAAGGTTACGGTTGTGGAGTTCAGATAGCAGTGTTAATCAGACACTGCTTGTCACTGCCTAATCTGCCAGTTGGAAGGAATCCCAAGTTGAGAGGATCAGAACTCCTCCAGAAATCTGGCACTTGGCTGATAATGTCTCTGGCTAAATGTCTTATGAGGCTTACAAACACAATACGCGTACAAGACATGCCTCGAGTTATCTCTCCTGGTCCAGTGCTGCCCAGCTGAGGCTTTTGCTGGCTCTTCTGTATTTCTCTGCAACCCTTGCCTTTCAGAATATGTTTCTGCCTCAACTGGTGGTGACTTCTTACAGACTTTCTTATCTCCATTCCCCACCTTCATGCAGTATTTGCTACGTTACTTAAAACATTTTCTCTTCAGTTCCTCTATCTTTCACTAGCATACCAATATAAGACCTTCTACTATGTACATATATACTTCTTAAGCTATGGACTTGTCTTTGTGCTCCTTACAGTTAAAAGCACTTAACCAAGTTGCAAAGCAGACTTAATCTCCTAAATATAATCTGCTTTTACAGTTTTCCTATGACCAAGTTAATAGTATATCCATGTCACATCTGTTTAATGGCTGGTGCAGGAGGACTGATAAGTCTGCTCAGGGCTGCAAGCACCACTAAGCCAGTGGCAGACGAACACATGCCCAAAACTTTCTAGCTGGACTTTCATTTACAGACATGTTTGGGGCTATGGAACAGCCTTTGCGTATACAGAATATCTTTCAGCAATTCCCAGTTTGGGAATTGTAGAAAACCTTCTGTTTTTTGTTAGCTACGTTACCTAGTTAGCATAAGTTACCTATCCATTCCTGTATGTGAGAGTGCTATTTTGTATTTCTTCTTCACAAACCATTTCTTTGAAGAAACCACAGTTTTATGTGATTTTTTAATTAGAAGCATGTAACAAGTCTCTATTCATTCTCTGTAAGAGACAAGCAGTAGGTGCTCGGTTGTTGCTTTTTATAGAAGACTTACTAATTCTGATGTGTCCTTTTTTTAAACTGTTGATAACACTTGACAATTCATTAGTAGTAAAAATGAGTTGATTAAAGACGATCAGCTTTAAAATCTCTTTTAAATGCCATAACTTGACTTGATTGAATCCTGGACTCTCCTAATTGATGTGACTGAGCTTTCTTGGCATTTTTGTCATTTTATTTCCATAATCTAACCTGAGACTTAGATCATATTCTCTTATGGGAAATCAGTGTGTGTTTAGACAGGTGGTAGGGAATAGTTTGGTTCAGTAGTAGCCTTCACACATGAAGTTCCTGCTAATTCTCAAGTGTGGTATAGGGTCGCTAAAGGACTGTCCCCTTTCTTTGTTTCTCAGTAATTTTGTGAGTTCAGATGAAGAAATGCCCCTGTGCACAGGTGCATGGGAATGTGCAACAAGCTCTCATTGTGTTGAATGAAGAACGGGGTGGGAAGTTCTAGGGAGACTTAAATTCCCCTTTGTTTCTGCAGAGCTGTGCAAGAGGTGCATAGATGATTCTTGCTTCTTTCTAGAATGCATGGCCTTTAGTTCTTATCTGTGCTTCTCAGTGTTGCTGCTTTGGGACATAACACTTGTGTGTCAAAATCTCTGCTATTTTTGCCTAATAAATTGTGTATTCATTAGCCAATTCTAGGCAAATTTAGCAGGAAGTAGGGCTCTCAAAGGTATTACATACCTTTATATGGCTGCAGTAAAAGATGAGTTCAACAGACTATTAGCCATAAAAAGGCACGGGGACCTGCTGGCCCATTAGTACATATGTGCTGGTTGACCAGGAGGTTGGATCCCACAGAATCTAAACTGTTCAAACTAGGGCTGTCTCTTGCCAGCCATGAGTTTAAGAAAGGATTAAAAAGAAGTAGAACATGGGAGAAAATCCAGAGAAATCAGACTTTGCCCTGAAGGTTACAGAAAAAAGGAGATTCTTAATGGTACTTTTACAAATGAATAATTATTTGCAATGTAACTAACTAAGTTTCAAAATCTTTTTACAAAAAAAAAAAAATGCACAGTTGAGACTATTTATAAATAACTTTCCAAAGTTAGCAATAATGAAACTTCTAGAGCGTGACTGGAATTTTTATTGATGCTATATAGCAAGGCATGAAAAATTTTTAAAAGTGCTTTTGACAAAGAAATGTATTGAAATAAAAGTCAGACCTTAATTGTTGTACGAAAGCAATATAATCATCTGTAATTGAATTGTCAGAAATGCAAATGTTAGCATCTTGACATTTACCATTGCTGTTCTGTCTTTTCTAATTATCTTTATTAAAGGCTGAAATTAACAAAGGAAATGGCTGAAAATTAGGAATGGTTTGTTACATTAGGTGACATTTACTACTTTGATACCCTTTATCTTGAGTTGGAGCTTGATGTTCAATTATTGTCTCTCTTCTAGGGAATTGCACCAAAATTGAGATTTTCTACGAGCTCCCTTATTACAGAAAGTCTGTTAAGCTCAGGAAGGAGTCACATACAGGTTAGCATAATTTAATTGTTTGCAATTTAATTTCTAGATTTAATATTGATAGCCTTAGTTCCAATTTTTGCATGTGCTGTTCACTTCGAACTTTTCTCATTCTTTTGTTGTGGTTAAAGCAGTTGTCATGGGTGCTTGACAACTTGATTAAATTTTTAATCAAGTATGAGTAAAGAGTGGGTTTGGTGCATGACAGTAAATGTTGAGAGTTCCCTGAATCTGAAACAATTATCAGCTGCTATGTTCTATGATCAGCTGAAGTGTCAATCCCTGGTGCATTTGTAGGTGGGAAGATGCCTCCTTACCATTTCTCACTGACACTTAAAATTAAGATGGGACAATGAAAGCTAGGTGAAGTCAGAGAAGGTACATTATCAAAAACAAAACAATTAATTTAATTGTTTTTCATAACAATATCAGTAACAGCAATGGAAATGAAGATTTCTATTGAAAAGGCTTCACCGATACTAATCAGGAAATGCTTCTTCTGCAGTGGGTGAAGTTAAAGGCAAAGTAGCTGAAAAGACTGGGGAAAAGAAAACACTCTGCATTTGTTCATTTGGTAGTGCTGTTCTCTGGTCTCACTGGTTTGTGTTTTTGTTGGGTTTCCTGGGACAGGGTGTCACACAAAGTCACTGTCACTAGATTATTGAGAAATTGTGCAGCATCGTCAAAGTTGAATGGTTGTTAGGAAGGTATGTGTGCAAAAAGCACTAGGTGACTTTGGCCTGTTTGTGGTATTGCTAATTACTGAGAAGTTTCTTCCAATTTTATCAAAAGAAATATATTGAGACACTTAAAGGATTGAAAAAATCAGTGAAAATTGGCACTGACAGAAAACTAACCTTGTTGAAGGTAAAGGGCATCTTGATTTAAAACTAGAAAGTGTCATTAAAAGTATTTAATGTTACAAGGGGCACATCAAATTTGCATGTGTTGCAGTGAAGATATAGAGAATAAGCCAGAAAAAGCACAGTTGACTTTTGTTGAAATTAATCTCTGAGAACTAGGTCCATTTTTGTTTGGACTGGTTTCATACTCTGGCTCACTACTAGCTGCAGAAGTGTTGGTACAGGCATGAGAAAGACAGTGGAGTAAACTGCCACTGTGATGCCAGATGCAAACTATGTTGATCAAAAAAAAAAACCCAACAAACACACAACTTCATCTTCATCATTAGATGAGAAGAAAAGACACAAAGGCAATGTTTGGACGTGGACACTTTGCTCCTGGGTTATTCTGAACTGAGGCAGTACAAGCAGCATTCAAATTCAAGAGTAGTGTCAGTTTCCTCAAGCTCAAAAAGGAATTTCTAACCAGAAACAAAACAAAAGAAAAAAACTCTCTTGCTGTTCTCTTATTTTTGAGCTTTTATAACATGGGATTTGGGGCAAACTCTCACCAAAAAGCCTAATTACCCATATTGTGGTATCTTAAAACATGCTGCTACGAAGTAGTCTACTAAGAGTTGCATAGTCTAGAGTTCCTTGACCTATAAAACTTCTAGAGTAATTGCAAGTTCATTTAATGACAAGAATTAAAAAGGAATGATGATGTATTTCAAGCAAAACTTCAATATTTGACTGAGTTTCCCAGAATTTCTTCTCCAGCTTTCCCTTATTCTGCTGTATGTGGGTATTTGAAAAGCTGTACCAACTCGGAGATAAACTTTTAAGGTAATATTTGATAATGGTGTGATTTTATAAATCTTGGTTTAAAAGAAGAAATGCATATTTTGGATGTAAACTGCCATCCTGAGCAATAAACAGCTGTTTTGCCACCCCTTTTGCAAAAGTATTCACGTCATTTAAGACAGTCTTTTAAGCAGGTAAAGTTGGTTTTAAATGAACTTGCTACCAAATTCAGTTGTTTGTTTTTTTTTTTTTACAGTCTCGATATACTAACCCTGTGAGCAAGTTAATTGAGTAATTATTAGACACTTCAACATTGCTACATGTTGGAATTTAAGGTTGTTTTAAACTTTTTTGATTTTAGATGAAATGGTAAATACAGTGTTGCTTTTTTATATTGCTGTTTGATTATAGTTTTCTGAGAGGAACTTCAGCTGACATAGCATCTATTTCTGTTAAAATTATTAGTTCCCTGCTTCTGTTATTGTCAGAGGTCTTTGTTCTGCATGCTGTCAAACCAGGTAATTTCTCTTTTTCCCTTTAGGATGATTTGAATTGGGTACATCACTCAACCCCAAATGGAAAATTGCAAACAAAGTTGCCAAAGAAAATCACACTTTCACCTGAGAAAAGCAGGCACAGCATAGTGACAAAAAACTACGAGCAGCCTACAATAGCTTCTAAGTCACGTTCTCCATCTCCATACACAAAAAGACGAATGTGTGAGCTATCAGAAGAAGCCAGGCAACGATTGGCCCATTTAAACCTTGGTCCTTATGAATTCAGAAGAGAAACTGATAAACCTCCATTTGTAGTTAGACGGGTTTGTATTCTCTACAAAGTGCTTCTAGCTTAAGCTGTGATCAAATATTGTTCTTTCACTAAATACTGCTCCAAAAATTCATTCATCTCTCAGTTTAGATGAATAGTTTTTCCTCTCTTTACTAGTCTGTCATATGGTGATTTAAATATAAAATTAACTAAAATAAAATTTCTTTTATCTGTGTTAGTAACAGACAAAGATCAAATTCTTTCATGAATATCTTGGTTAAATTCTCTGAGGCCCCATTTCTTTTTCTTCCAGTGCACTAGACAGGATAATAGCTGTATAAATTCAACTTGGAAGTAATTGATATTAGTATTAAAAAATCCTGAATAAGATTTTAAAGAAAGAGTGTCTAGTCACATTATGAACATTTACACTGCCTCTCTTTATACTTTGTTGGCATCCTATGATCTTTGAAACACTTCCTTTGCTCAAAGCTAAATCTCTAGTACTTTACTTACAGCTGATAACCACCTGCATTTAGCACCTGCATGAGAAATTTTTAGTAAATGTATGTGGAAAAATCATTCTGAAATTAAGTAGTTATTTAAATAAACTGTGTTAAAGTGCTTTTCTACTAGGGGTCCTGATTGCTCAGACTCTTGGATGATCGTTTTCTCCAATAAATTGTTTTTATCTTATTTTTTGTTACAATTGCAACAATTCTCTATTTCTTAGAATACCTCTTAGAATGTGTAGGGGCAGAGATGGAGTTGTTCTGACTCTGTGCTGTGACATTATGATTTGTCTACAATTTTGGACACTTGTCACAGCCGTTGAGTATTTAATTCAATTTGGTCCTCACATTATTTCATTTTTCTAGTTTATGTGCAGGTAGTAACGGCTTGTCAAATTCTAGAATTCGTCCCCGAGTTTTCTTCTACTTGTAGGTACCTTTTAGAAATTCAGATTAACCTTAATAAGCCATTAATTATTCATCAACCTACTGTTTCTCTCTCAGATATTTTTCTTTTAACTCCTGTTAATCAATTCTTCTGGTTTTTGATCTATAGGTGAAGTTCACAGTTTAATTACAGCACCTGTAAACACTCATTATTGATTTTGGTTGCTCTGTTATGTCTGTACAAAAAGGAAAAAACTTCTCTTAATGTACCATATCCTGACTGTTATAGCATTCTCAATCTAAAAAGGGCACTTTATTGCATCTCAACTGCTCAGATCTCTTTTGACTTGGAGATCTTGCGTTGCATGAAGATTAAAATTAAATTATGTTAAAGTGTAACTTTTCTAATTAGGAAGAGTAGCACTTAAAGATCTGAACTGTTTCGAATAAATATGTGATATCAAGTACTATTTAAAATGTTATAGACCTTATAGATGAAGGAAAAACTGTATTTTTTTCCTTTTGAACAACATGACATTGAGCATTCTGGACCTTTCTAGCACTGTTTGTGTATGTGCGATAATGCTTATTGTATAACATGAACAAAATGTTATGAAAATATTTTAAAATAGTATTTGATTAAGAATACATGGCTTCAGAAAGGACTACATGTGCTCTTTTAAATGTAAATAATGCAAAATACATGTATAGATCAAAATGTCTGATACTGTACATTTTAACAGTAGTTTTGCTCCAGGTAGAACAACAAAGTCCTGGTAGTGATCTTCATGCCTGGTGTACCCTGAGAGAAAGTACAGTGGGAGCCTGGTCCAAGGTAACGCATGGTCAGTATTTAGTACTATATCTCTAATTAAAGCTTTTCCTTTCTCCAGTAGATTAGTAGCTTTTTCATTTTGTTTTTTTTTAGTCTTTTACATTTTGTAATGGAGAAAAAACTGTTCCTTCTTCCTAGGAATAGTAAGAATAGTGAATAATCCTACTGCTGCAAAAGCAGGTTTTGCATATTCCTTTACCTTGTGAAACTTGGAATATAGTTCTACGTGATTTTAAAAAAAAAAAAAGCAGGAGCAGAAAATACCAAAGTCCAGGCAGATGCTCTGTTCCACTTCACCTGTTTTGATTAGTTGCACAGAGAGGAGCAAATCTGCACCTCAGTCAGTGGGTGTGTTGGTCAGGCTTGGAGTATTGATTGTTTTGAACTTCATGGGCTGCGTTACTCCAAAAATGAATAATGTTTCTATTGACAATATTTGTGAGTAGTGGATCAGCGACATGAGATTATTAGTGATCATCCAGGATACACTTGTGTATAGGCTTCGACACTCATTGATAGCAGTAACTGAGGGTTTTATTAAGGGTACAGGAGAAGAAAAGGAAGTATGCTAACATTTGATTTTACTGCACGTGTCTGGCAATATGGAGATTTTAATGAGTCTCATCAGTATTTGTTTGCTTTGTCTCATTTTTATTGTGCCTCCTATAATTATGAATAGTTGTGTAGCAAATCATTTTGAACTTATTTTACATTTGTTCTCTGCAGTAGCACTGGGTGTAGGATTTTAAAGGCTTCACATTCCCTTTGGGGTTATACCTATCAATCTGTATCAGCTAGATAATGTAACAGACCTATTATCATCTGGTAACATTATGTACTTACAAAATGAGTTGGTGGTCTTTGGCTAGTGGTTAGGAGGATGAAGTCTGCCTCACTGCTAGTATCTGGATAGTTGAATGACCACCTTCTTCTGGGATACATCTTTTTTTCTTTCTCCAGATCCTTCTCTTCTCGGCAGCTACAAACCCAAGAGAGCCAAAGTGAGTATTCTGAGATGCTGTTGTTTACAAACTGTTTTTCTGGGGAAGCCCTGAGTGAGAAGAATTGTCCTATATGTAGGTATTTTTGAAACTTTATCTACTGTACTATCAAACACAAGATAAAGGACATTTAAAATCTGGCATAACTCAGTTTAGCTCTGATGATGGATTATTTACAAATAGAAATGTGAAACTTAATGCTCTGTAAGATATCCATGCCTATAGGTACCACACTTTTCCTTGCTATTAAGGCTTGTGACAAGACTGTAGAAGAGACTTTAAAGGCAGCTTACAATTCCCTTCATGGTCATTCTGAGAGGAAACTTTTTCAGAGGAGTATGCAAAAGTAGCACTAGTACAAATGGCAAGCCACTGTTCTGTCATTCCACCTTTGTTTTTAAGGTACTAGCTGCTTTGTGTATTAAGTGAATCTGAAGATAATGTCAGAGTACCTTTGTATTCCTTGTAAAATAAGGTAACCTATGGAGACTTTTCAGGTTAAGAGGAGTTATGAAAAGAGTACCTAGTATAGTGAAGAGTGAGTAGAAGATTAATAGGTAGGCCTGAGTTTTCTGTGGAGGAAAGAGCAGTCGTGAGAAAAATATTTCTAAGAACAAGGGGTCACAGACTGGGGAGAGGTCTGAGATTTGTGTGGTTTAAACTCCCAGGCATCGCTGACTCTGGTCCTGGGAGAGGTGGGCCTTCAAACTGTGCAGTCAGAAAAAGGTGATAAAAGGCCTGTTATGCTGACTTGGCCATAATATGGTGTGTGAAATGGGGATCTGTGCTATTCCCCAGCAGGTAGATATTATTGCATATATGGGAAGCGTGTAACGCTTTGGTTTTAAATCCAAAATTGTACATCTTGATACTCATAATAAATTTTAGCAAGGTTTGGTGTCTTTTCATATTTTTCCCGTGTTGTTTTAACAGGCAAAATCTACTCATGGAAAAGACTGTGACAGCTCGTCTGATGTTTGTAATGAGGATGTGATCTCGGGTCCACCTAACAGACAGCCCCATTCTGCTGGTTCATTAGTGCATTCAGCACCTTCAGCATTTCAGAAGCATTCTCCAAGTTCGGTGCTAAATCGATCTTCTCTAAGGGAAAGGTAATGACTTGTTTTTGTTTGTGAAATTCTGGAATCATTAACAAGAGCGGATGATAACAGTACTTGCATGACTATAGGTTTTATGTTTGGAGGATACAGGCTGAAGAGACAGGAAATCTTTCCCCATCAACTATCTTGTTGTTTGACTTTTCCTCAGTAGCTGTGTCTGCCATCACTTCTCTACTTAATGAATACAAAATGAATGATATGGCAATGAGAAGGATCTTTGACATCTCTGTTGTTAACCTTCTCTGAAACAATGAAGCCCCAGGTTTCGTGCACCCCTATGTCCATTATGTCTAAAACAGAATATTTAAATAATTACCGTTTAAGTGGGATTTAGACTATCAGGAATATAAATATAGATGATTATCAAGCAGGATGTTTTGGAGGCATTTGGAAACCTCCTTCCCTTCTGTCTTGCTTACCCTACTGTTTGTAAGTGTATATTTGTGGCTGTTCTGTTGTCAGATGTGTGACCCGTTTTAGTAACATGCTTGGACTAGCTTTAATCTAGGCAGTGTATTATTTTCTAATCTTGCTGTTTTATTGACATCCTAGTATTTTTGTTTTATTTTCTTTTAAGCTGAAGCGTGGGCCTCTTTAGAAATTCCATGTATATTCATTTCTATATATTTATTTTCCCCTTTTTAGTCCTCCACTGACAGCTTCTAATATCCCATAGTTTGCTGGATTCCAATCCTGAGGTTAATATTTTGGGCAAGTATAGCTGTTACAGTGTCTCATAAGGGTGGCACAGAAGAAATGTGAACAAGCAACAGCTTTTTCATGCTTAAGTCCTCTAATCCTTCAAGGAGAGTACTCCCTACTTCCCACTGAGTAGAATGTGACCTTGGTGCATGATGTTCTACTGTACATTCAGCTTAATAAGTTACTGGGTGGCTTTCCGGTAGCAGTAAAGTTGTATACAAAGCTGGGCCTGAATAACAAAGTACATAAAATAACTTGAAGAATCTGAGAATTGAACTGCTGTGCTGTCCTAAATTCTGAAGTGTTTCTCTGAGGAGAAACTACTTGGAGATGTACTTTGGCAGCTAGTTCACACTTGTTCCAGGCTCTTTCCTCCTTGTTGCTATTGGTACCTCACTTAGTAAATGCTCAAAGGGTGCATTTTGTAGCCTACACACTGACCTAATGCTTTTTTTTTTCCAAAATGGAGAAACTGTCTGTTTTCTCTTTAAAAAGAAAAATGACAGATGGCAGGGGGCATTGAATTTTTAATACTCATAAAGATTAAGTTGGTGTTTTAACATCATCTGCTTGAAAACTGGCTTGTTTGTTGTTCTGTGTAATAGTGTTTCTAGTGAACTGTTATGTAGAGATTAGGATGTCTGGAATTTTGAGGAGGGTTTTTCTTGTCATGTTGTCTACCTTCCCTCTGTCATTGTGCATTAGTTGCCCATGTCTGGGAAAGAGGTTGTAATGGTGATTTTTTTCTTTAATGTGGTATGAATCTTTTTTTTAATTTAAATTCACTATCTTTAAAGCTGACAGAGTCCTTTGTATTGATAGCAAAAAGTATTGTGTGCCGTGAGCTGCTGTTACATGCATAGTAACTTAGTCATCTGCCAAATAATCTTAATGTCTGAACGTTCTTGCTTTTTCTCATTACCGGCCCCTCTCCAGAAGAGATTTGTGATCTTGTGAAGTTGTTTTTTCTTATTAGAACAAATGCTCTCAGCTCTCCAAGGATGTAACATCTTTTTATGTGAGCATTTACTTTTGTCATCAAAAAAAAAATTCAAAATAAGGAAGTAAAGGGCATAGTCTAAAAAATTTGATCTTTGTGTCCATGCTGCTGAGATAACGATGGATTTAGTTGACTGTATACAGAGACTTGTATCTGGAATGACAAGCAAGGATCAGAGGTCAGTGTTTGGAAATGCATGCAAATATTGCTGTTCAGATCATAGAAATACAGAGAAAATCAGTACTACTGAAACTATAGCAGTGTTAGTATATTTGTAAGAATAGTCTTATCTCAAAGTGGAGTTTATTTCCTCAATTTTATTTTGAATTGCAAAGACAAAAAGCTTAGCATATACAAGCTATTTTTTAATACTGATCAATCCATAGTATAAAACTTAACTCCACACCCCGGCCTTAATTTCCTTTTTTTCTCTTCTGTTTTTAAAAGGAAGTGGTATGAAGTTGGTGTCTGCCATCTTGGGAGTGCTTCCCCAGAACACTGCTGAATAGTCGCAAAGTCATTACGATACCTTTCAGTGATACAGAAATTGGGATCTTGCATAAGGTCTTGTGAACACTTCTGAATCATTTGTAGCAGTTTCCATTCCCTTTCTGTGAGCCTGCTAGAGAGATCACAAACCAATCCTCTTGCCTCTTCCACTGGATTTGAGCCAGAAGTAAAACTAAAACAGTTCTATTGTTGGCCAAGGCAGCAAGGTTTTGAATATTTATTTTTCATATTTTATTTTTAAATTTTTTATGTATGTCACCTAAGGAAATCACTTAGTGTTGCAAACTGACTGTAAACAGAGTGATGCAGCTGTGCAACTACATTTCCTATTTTGATTCTACCTCCTCTGCAGAGCAATGATGCATGTGTGCTCTTTAGTTCCTGTCCATGACGTCTTCCAGCTTCAGTCAATGCAGTTAATGTTGCTTGCCCCCATAGACTGCTTGGTTGTGCATAAATAAATATCCTATATGTTTTGTGGAAGAGCATTAGGGCTGTGTTCTCTCAATGCTGTTGTAGGAAAGGAAAAATCAACTTCAGTCCTTGTTTTCATAGTGCATGTATATCCTTATGCACTCCTAGAAGAGATGGTGTTTTTCTTAGGGAATTCCCTGCAGCAATGAAATCTGCAGCAAAATACAAAGCTGAAGTCATCTTCCTGTAAAGAAAGGAAAGAGTGAAGTGGATTCTGTAAGCTAATGGCAAAAGTCCTCTAATGGAGCATCTCTGCTGGCACAAGAGAAATCCTATTCACAAGAGACTACTCCAGTCAGAGCAGTATTTGACCATTTCTGTTATGTTGAGACACAAAGCTACTTATGTGTTTGGGATCAGTGGGTTCTTTTTCCTACTCTGGACACGGCAGGCTTTTGATTTTAGTTTTTATTATTGATTTGAAGAGTAATCACTTCTAGAGTGAAGTCCATCCCAATGTCTTTTTAATGTTCTCCTGGTTGTACTGCTGAAATGTGATCTTACCTCCTATAAAATTTAACAAAAATCTAAGTTGTGTTTCAAGTAAGATGGTAACTATGAATCAGGTACCCTTCTGTAATATCCCTGTGTTGTTTTAATACCATCTTTTTGTATTATCTTTTTCCAAGTACTAGGGAAATATCAGCATGAAGTTAGATATTACTAATGAAAGACTAAATTCTACAGAAAGTCCTTGAAAATTCCAGTTATCGGAAGCTTTGGCTTCAAAGATCTTAATGTCACTGGAGGATCTTGGCTACTAGTTCTGTTGTGTAGCAAAATCCAGACCACAGGTAGTTCACCTAATATTTTAGAAAGTGGAATGCATCCAAATACAGGGTTAACATTTGTGAGAATACACGTTTAAGTTCTGAGAACTTCCAGCTATAAAGTGGAACATAAAAAATCAGCCTTTTCAGAAAAAGGCTTGCTCTAGGGAGAAACTGCAACTAGGCTTTGTATCTTGTTTTAGCTATTTAAATCTAATTATTTTGGAAACTTTGGAATTTCATTTGGTCGTAAGATGATTTTTGAATCTTCTGTCTTTATCATTCTCACCTCTTGATGAAGTTTATTTTTTTGCCTTCTCTAAGTTGATCTCTGGAAGCAGCACTTGAAGATCAGTTACTTCGTGGCATGTTCTGCAGTAGTACATAAGCCTCATTTTGTATTTTTGACCAGCTTCTCTACTATTTGTCATCTTCATTGGTTGATTTTGCAGCAGCAGTAGGTAAATTTGAAAGTGATTGCTGTCAAAGCCTTTTTGTGTATAAATGAATAAATTTAGAGAAGATAGCATAATCTGAAAGCTTCCAAAGAGTACAAGAAAGTGCTGACCAGTTCTGACATGCCAAATGTTTAGTACAAGAATGACTTGAACATCTGTTGAGGAACTACTCAGATATTGTGCCTTCCTTGAAATCTCAGAAGCTTTCTACCCCTTGGGATTCATGATATATGTGAGGATGATTTATTCTGCCTTAGTTTTAAGGGCTAGGTATAAAATTTAGGGGGAGAAAAGAAAGCATTTGTGAATTTTGAAACTCTTCGCTGCAAATGCCTGTGGTGCTTTAAGGCCTACCAGTAAACAGGGCTTTTGAATATAAGAGAAACTATTTAAAAAGGATGAGATATCCTTACTTTTTTTTTTAATTTCTTACTGAAGATGAAGAGTAAATAGGCACAGCCAGACTGTCAGCTACTGCTTCCAAATGTTTAAGCTGTTGTTCTTTGATTTGAGGCCTTGGCTGTACATAACTGTTTCTGCTTCATAGTAAGTATCCTGGCATTGTGGAAGCAGCATACTTGCTCCACTTGAAATATTGTGAGCATGTAAGGATTTTCATGTTGTTACATTTTCATTACAATTCACAGAACAGTATGTACCAATATAGTTTATACAACACTTTTGTCAGCATAGTTGCGTTTACACTGGGGTTTACAGCCATCAGATATTTTCAGAGAAGGCAAAACAAAAGTGCAACCTCTATCAAGTAGACCAGTAAAACTCATTAAGCGTAGCTCAGCCTTTCTATTGTGCCTTCTGTTCCAGACCACTGTATACTGAGAACCATGTTCATCGTACAGATTACTACTTCATGTCCTTTTAAGTGAAATAAATTCTTTTCGTACTCTGCATGCTGTATAAACACCTACTTGGATATAAAATCTATGACTTTTTTTTCCCATTTCAGAGTTAATTACATTAGAGTTTCCTGAAAATTTCTCTTGTTCTATGCATAAGTTCTTGTAGGTTGTTTTATTTTGTAGTTGTTGGCTTTTTTGTACTTAGCTTAAGAGTTATTTCTTTCTCTCCCTTCCCCTTGCCCCCAATTACAGTGGCGTCCTCTCCAATTGTGAAGCTGGTACTACAGTACTTCATTGATTTCTGTCCTCTGCTAGTTTGTCCTTGTATGTGGTTTTGCTCAGCGTGAAGTCTGTGTCTTTGAAGCTGATGAATTCTTCATGGAGGCCACATGCACAGAGTTGTTCACAAGGCTAGGAGGTGTGATGGTGGGGGAAGGGGTCACGATAGGCATTGCAAATATTCTGCAGCAGGCTTTTGCATTAATTCTACTGATATGAAATGTATTAGTATCTCCTGCTGAAATGTGATATTAACATTTTCACTATGGGCAAGTGAATGATTGGATTGTCTGACATTTGAAAATTCCTATTTATTACTGCTCTCAAGTATGCAAGCTGCTGTTTAACTAGAGTATATGGTTGGATATATCCTGTTTGTATTCATAATGGAGTATTTCATCCTAATGGATAAAATTATATGCAAAAATAGCTTTGATCTTTAGCACAAGATCTAGACTCTGTGCTTGGCTGCTTTTTTTCTATCAAGGTAGATGTTGTCTGCATGACCTTAAAAAAAAAAATCCTTATCTCATAAAGAAAATAAATTCTTTTAGTCACATTACAAGGGAAAATGGTTCTGTTTCCTTGATCGTACTCGACACAACATCTTTGAAATTAATCTTGAGAAGTTCTCTGATTGATCTGGCTTTTTCTAGGTCACTGAGCTATATTTCCAAAGTGTTTATACAATCTATTGGAATCAATAAACAATTTAAACTGATGTAACTGCAGAATGTTTGCAAGTCCCAGGGAAAATTGAAAGTATGACAAAGAATACAGCTGTAGAAGTTTATTTCGTTTATCAGGACAAACAGTCATTGAAATGAAATGACTTGCCTTTCAACATTGCAATACAATACTGACACCTTAATCACATAAATAAATAGCTAGTCATTTTAAAAACACATTATTGGTCATTTTAGGCAAATGGAATCCCTTTATTTATAGTTTAGCAAGCTGTGCTTTAAAGCCTCTCTTATAAAACGTTTCCAGTGGGGGAGTTAGCATATCATAAAAAGGTTTCACTTCAGATTATGGGTGTTGCATTTCAAGGCAGGATTTTATGTTAGTGTGCAGTTTGGTGGATGTAAATATTAACATTATGACTTTAAATGTGACGAAGACTTAATAGTTATTACTAAAATTAGACAATGACAATACTAGCAAAACTAATTAAAAATAAGCTGATACTGTTTTTAATCATACTTAAGGTCTAGGTTTTTTTTGTAAATTAAATTTGGGATGTGTGTGAGTGGCTAACATTTCTTATACCACAGCGCACACTAGTGGATTGATCAATAAAATCACCTGGAGAAAGAAATCTAATAGTTCTTGATTTAAGTACTTAAATTTCCTTCTTGCAGACATGGTCAGGTATTGTCTAAATTAATACAATAGCAAGCTGGGGCTTTCGTTTTTTCAAAAGTAAATACATGTGTCTCTAAGGATATTTGTAAATTTAAGATTAATATCAATGATCTGAAATCTTACATAGGAATTTCATAAAATTTATTTCCCCACGGCAATCTATTCCGACTTCTCAGCTCCAGCAACCTGAATGTTGGAAGAACAGCAGCTGCTGTATAAATAAGAGGGAAATGCCATTACTTCTGGAGTTATAGAGTCTAGCTTTTATTTGTTAAATGGGAAATGAGTCCCTATTACTGCACCTAGAATGCAGGTTTTTAAACATGCATTTCAGAATTTCCTTCGTGTTAGCGTTTGTAAGGGCCCATAGGACATCTTAAGATGTTTTTTGGAGTTTCTTGATGCCTGCCTGATACGATTTATTCAAGTAGTGTGTTTTAGCAGGCGTGCAGGGTTCAGTTTTCTTTTATTTTTTCAAAAACTGCCAGTGATACAGCACTTACCTTGTAATGCTGCACATCAAACTGTGTTTGACTGAGTTAAGGAAATATATATTCCTGCCTGGTTAAGTGGTTTAGATCTCTATTTCTTTAAAGACAGTGCTTTTCTCTCTTAACAGAAATTTACAAACCGCTTTCCTTTCTTTTAGGAAAAATTATGAGATCTTTTAATGCAACAGATCGTTAGATTCTAGTATGCAAAAGAATTGAACAATATGGATTTGCCATACGTGCTGTTGGGTTTTAAATTAATTGTAAGTGTTCAGGATTCTAATATGAATGTTCATCTGTGGGTCATTACAGGCAAGGATTTTCACAAAGCTGGTTATAACAGCAATGTTAAACGTCATTAGAAGTATGGAAAATACATCCCACTATAGATTGTATGATTCATTCTTCCAATATTGTGCCATTTATTGGCATCCTTTCTTGGAGAAAAACAGAAGCATTCAGAAATGGATGATTTGATTTAAGGAAACTCATAAATGGGCTGAAAATATTGGGGTTGTTTAGAATAGAGAGATTTTGGAAAGGTAAGCAATAATAAATGAGTGTGTAAGTTAACTAGGTACAGGAAAATAGAAGAAGCTTATGTGAAAGCAGAGAATTAGTCACTTTCTGGTCACATTTTTAATCTGATAACAGAAAGAATCATCCAAAAGGTTTTAAGGTGTTCCCAGCCCTGTTTGCATTAGTCAAGTCAGCCTGGCACTTCCCATTTTCAAGATCTTGTTTCCATTACTTTTCATGTTGCCAAGTAACACGTTTTGGACTAAGACTTTCAATGTAGTATTTGGTTTGTCCTTTTTGGAAGGAACTGTACTGTTTCTTAGTAGTAATGAGATTTCTGGAAGTTAGATGAAGGTAAACCAAGCTTGATATGACCAGGATGAGATCTTCAGAGAGAAGAGGGTCAGGGAGTGTGATAAACTTGGAGAGTAAAGATCAAAAGGCATTCCCAGTCCCACAAACCCCTCCAGAGCCCCGTGTAGAATCAAGGTCCAGAGTCATGATGTTTCTCTGCTGCACTGAATTTGTGAAGCCAACTATTAAAGACTGTCCACATTTCTTGTGCTCGTAATCCACCCAGAGTATGGCCACCAGTCTTGCTGCTGGGTGTTTTTCCATTGGATCAAATTACAGAATCTGGGGCTGATCTACAGCTGGCTGCTTGGCTAGTGACCCATATATATCTTAGCATGAGTTTTAATAAAAAACATATCATGACTTTATTTTCTTCATGCAAATCAACTTCTTGGATGTTAGGAAACACTGAAGTGAAGATGCACATTCTTGATTTAGTGCCTTGTTTCTGTTCACTCGGATTAAAAGTTTACTTATGCAATCTCACGCTCCCTTTTCTCCAGTGAATCCATTTTAGATGTTGATCTCATCTGTGTATTTGTTGGTTGGTTTTGTTTTGATAATACATGTTTGAGTGTACTAAAGTCTGGAGATTGGCGTGTAAATTATCCTATTCTTAAAATCTCGTGTGCCTCCCTTATCAGTAGTTATTCTCAGACTATTACATAATTTCTGCTAGCTTCTGAACTTGCTGAGAAGAATGAAGGCTTTTTTTGTATAAACTGTGGGGGGGGGAAGTGCTGCGAAACATAAAAGAATAAAGAATAAAATCTCAGAGTATTGGGTTTTGAATCACCCATATCAAGGAAACTACCTGTTTTTTAATGTAAACTTCACAACTTTCCATCATGTGGAATAAAGACTGTGAATTTGCTGTTTTTGAACTCCATAGGCTTTCCTATTTGCACACATTGGGGTTATCTTCCTGTTGATTTATTTCAGCAAAAAGAATTTCATGTGTGTAATACTTCCTTTAAAAAGAGAAAAATGAAGCCTGATCACTGGGAATAGAATAACTGTATAGCTTTTCTGTTCTGTAGGGACAATACAGGCATTACAGAAATATTACTCAAGTTACAAAATCATCAACATTTTCTGTGCTTTGTATCTTATGCTGGAATTGTGGATGCATGTTGTTTATGCAGTACTTCAAAATGTTTCTTTACTTGTACCCCAGAGGACAAAAAGAATCAAATCCAGACATTGTATATGTTCCAAATAGACGGAAGTAACTCATGCTTCATAATTTAAAAAAAAAAAAATCAGAGTGAAAAGCAAGTTGGAGCTTTTCAACAACGAAATATTTCTTTGTTTTTCCTCTTCCTCTTGCAGATTTAACGCTCATTGTCCTCCACCAGCAAATGGAGATGAGATCCATAAAAGAGTGAAAAATATCTTAAGAACACACAGTGCTAGACAGCGCCTAGTATTTGTAAGTTTGACTCAAACTAAATACTTTCTTTTCTCCAAGATGGTTGAGGAAGACAATTGCGCTTACAGTCTTGGATCTGTTATGATGTCTTTTCAGGCAAACTTCATTGTAGAAATGGGAATTCAGCACATAAGCTGAACTTTTTCATGCTGGTTTCAGTGGCCTCCTTATGTGGACCCTTTTAGAGACAGGTGGCCTCCTCATAGGGTATAGAGGACAATTAAATTTTCTTTTTATCTGGTTCCCCTGCTTTCAGTTTAACCAAAAAATATGTTGGAGCTCTATTAAAGTACATGAAGGGCTTAACATGTTGTGCAGCTGCACATCAACAGCTGCTTTTGTCCAGCTGTTTGTAGAGCTAATATTATGCTTCAAATGTGTGCTTTTTTTTCCCTCCTAATTATGTGGCTTTCGATGAAATCTAATGAGGCCATGCCTGGGACCAGAATATTTTGTCCTTGAGGCTGATGGAATTTTGAAGTGTAATTTTAGTCAGATAGCAGTTTTTGCTACTGTGATTTTGAGAAACTCAGTTGTGGCACAGTATCTCCCTGAGCAAAGCGTAGTACAAATTGAATGACAGGATTGTCCATCTGCAGAGAACTTAGGGTCTTAAGTGTGAGAGGGGGTAAAGGAAAGGTAAGGTAAAAGGATATAAGGATGTGAGTAGGTAAGATTAAGATAAGGAGCTCTGATGAAATTATTTTTGTCTGACAATCTACCACACCGATGTTATTGATCGGTTCAAAGAGAGATGAGTTACTCAAAGTGGGGAAAGATCTTTTGCTTCAGTTTCTCCTTGTAGAAAAAGGAATGTTGACAGAAATCTGCTTTCAAAGGTTGCTGTAGTTTTAAGTCAGTATCGTCCCCAGCTGTCCATCTTACCCCTCTGCCAGAGTTTACTACATCTGTGGGAAGTGTGATGAAGAGTGTGAGAGCCTTGCCCACCTCAAAGTTCAATGCAGAAAAAGTAGGTGTAACACTAATTTGATGTTTGAACTGTACTGGCTGGGATGCAATGACTTCAGAGACCACAGTAAACTCCTGACAGCTGTCTGGGGCAGTAAAATAAGGTTGTTTTCTTAGTCTGTTGCAGCATGATATACCAAAGAACCTTGGCTCTGAATTCCCTGTTTAGTTAGTTTAAAATAAGGTCTACTTCCATTGAGGCCCAAAATCCAGGCTGCATTGTTATGCAGTGGATGGATGAGGTAAATGGGTCATCTTGAAAGTGAGGGAGTAGCAAAGGAAGTGCACACAATGGGGTGAGTAGATTTTTGGCTCCGGTTTGGATCCTCTTCCAAACTTTGGGAGTTTACAAAGTATCTCTTAACTCTTTTCTATTCCAAAGAACATAATGCTAAACAACCATTCCCAGAAGCATCCATCTGTGTTTTCCAAAATTTAGTTTCCATAGTGCTCTGTAAAAATAGTGTGACTGGAGCTCTGCTGCAGATTCCTTAGGGTGTCCACTGTAGCTTTCCACTGTGACATTCTGACAGTATCATAATGTTTCCATCGTTCTTTGCTTTCCAGAACATAATTTGCCTCAGGCAAATTCTGCAGTTTTATTTACCACTGTACCCCATTTCCTCTACTCGGTGCTTTATAGTCTGTGACTGTTGAAGGAAGAGTTTTCCTGTTTACAAACACACACATTACCTTTGTATTTCACCACAATAAATTGTTTTTTTTCACACCCATGCTCCTGCTATGCAGCTTATTCTGCATCTGATTGCCATCTACCACTGTCTTTACTGTCTTTTCTTTGAGTTTTGTGTTACCAACAAGTTTAATTATTTTAACTGCATGCTCTTTTTCCAATTATTTGTGATGTAGTGTGAAAGATGATTTTGTTTACTGATCTTTGCAGCTATTAGCTTCTGTTAAAAGCATCACTTAATACCATCTCTTAAGTAGTGTCTTCTCCGTCCACATTAGCTTGAGTGTGATTGAGTATGGATGGAATTTCTACCATCCTGTCTCAGGTGGGCAACTGGCTTGCTTCAAATGAAGTGTTTCGTTTCATGCTTACTTAGGAGGCCAAGTATGGGTTTATTAATATCTAGATAGTATTTCGAAGGTCAGATTGCTTCTTAGCAACTGTTAAGAATGCCGCTGAAGGATCCTTTGGTATATTTTTTAAAACTTATTTTTAATGTTGGGTAAGCATGTTCTTAGCCCTGTGTATGGCATGGATGTATTTGGATAGATAGAAACGCTTCTACTTGGTAAAATCCATGACACAGATAACAGTAGCTCATTACAAAAGTTGTTAATTGATTAGGGTTCTTTTTTGGTTCTCTTTTCCCCCCTCTTCTATTGCTCACTGCTTTTCTTTGTTTCTTGTAGGTTTCATAGTATTTAACCCACGTGTTTTGGGGGATTATTGAAGCTTATGCTGTCTGCATGGTTCTTTAGATCTACAATGTCTAGAAATTCTTTCCAGTTTATTACCTGAAAAATATTAGCTGAGTTGTGCTGAACTTAATTAAAAGTGTTCATAAATGGCATTTGGCTCATTACACTTTGTCCCTTTCTCCACCAAGAAATGTAAGCACTTTAATAGTTTTCTAAGTGGAAAGAATGTATTTTTGAAATGAGATCATTGTAATCAGAAACCAAGGTAATGAGAATTTGATTTTCTGGTGTGCTTTTTTTTTTTTTTTAGAATGAAAGTAACTCATCAAAAGGAGACTTGACTAAGACAAGAGACTCTTCTCATAAAGCGCACTTATCCATGAGTGAACTGCAGAGCAGGTATGGAGTTTCTCTCTGACCAGGAGAGAACAGTCATACTCACGATATTGCCCTTTAAATTTAGCTAAAAATTTCTCTTCCTATTTTGAGCTGTTATATTGCACTGGGAAAAGGCTTCCGTAGGAGTTAGTCCTAGCAAGCTTTTTCACCTAAAAGCAAAATACAGTTAATTATCATCATACCTTTCATGGTGTTTGGAACTGTCAGTATAGTCTTCATAAAATTCTGATTTTAGCACTGGGTTTGGTCATAAAAATGATCCATGGGCAGTAGTTGTTGGATTTTATAAGCCAGAGAGTACACGTAACTTTAAAAATATCTATTTGGTGATCTTTCCTTAAAATTATGGGAATGCAAAAATAAATTGAAACTTACTTAGTAATAAGGCTTTTGGGTGTGTTTTTTTCCCAAAACACATGCTGTAAAAGAGAAGCATCTTTTTTTTTTAAAAAAAAAAAAAGCAAATACATAAATGGTCTAGTGATTCGGTGTTTCGTATTTCAGAAGACATTTTGAAAACCTTGTTTGTATGGGTTAATTATTGTGTGTGCTCCTCACATATATATCTAGGTTTTCATTTGAATATTTTACTTAAGACACAGATCATTTTGGTATTTGACAACTTCTGTAGTAGAAGTTATCAGTCCTGATGTTCTCTATGTATGAGCACGGTATTTTGTAGAACATTTGGGATACTTCCTTGAAGAAAGATACGAAGCAGTGCAAAGCATTTAGGGTGGTATGGATTCTCTGTTTTTCTTTATATTAAGACAAAATCCTAGAAATGTGGTGCTAAATTAGAGATTGCTTGACATTAAAAAAAAAAGTTTATTTTAATAATTAAAGTGATACAGTATTTTATAACATAGGCTTCCCAAATCACCACTGTATACCAACAAAAAGAGGGTTAGTTCAGTATGCATAGCATAGTGAACTTCTGCTTGAGATTAGTAAACTCCAAAGAGTTCATCTATTTATTGGCTTTTTTTAATTCCTGTAAGTTGTGGTCACTGCTGTTCAAGGGATCTAGGAATTCTTAGATTTTTGCAGAAAGTGAAGTTGCTAGTTTTTCTGTTCCTGTGCTTGGTCCTGTATTCTGCATGTAGCCTTTTTGCTACCTTATCCTTTGTCCTGACAGCTGCTGCAATTAAATTGTGTAGGAGATGTTTCTGAGAGAGAAAGTGCAAGTTTTTGTTTTGAGGCAGCTTTGGGAGTTTGAGATTGATGCTGAGACTGCAGACTATGAAAAAAGAAGAAACAAATCCTAATACTAGAGAATCAAGAAGTGATGGGGATATAAAATGTGGCACTCAGCTTGGGAAAGGACCGGTCCTTGGGTTTAGAGGCCAGCAGCACTAATCCCATTCACTGAAGGGTGAGAAATAAAAAGACTCGAGGACAGTCTGATTGCCAAGTGTTTGCCACAGTGCTCATAAACAGGATACAAGGACAGAGAAAGAGTTCATAGAAGGACATGGTACTGTCGACCAAATGTTGGCAGTAAAGCAGATGATTGAAAACCACTGGGAGCAAGGAAAAGGTCCATGTTTTTGTGAAATATTTAGTATATGATTCACTCAGAAAAGAACTTCTGGGACTCTTAAAGGAGATGTATGATGGAACAAAAGCATATGACAGGTATTTCAGAGCAGGGAGTTGCGTGCAGAAATCCTGCTGTTAATATGATTTGTGAGTGTAATTCCCAGATTGCTTAGCTCAGGTTGTCAGTTGGTTTCCAGCTGAGATAGGAGAGGGACTTTTCTCTAGGTTGGTTGTATCTATGTCCACACTAATGCTAAACATCTCGTGCAAGGTCTGGCTAATGGGAAATGCATGCACACACACAATTCTTTTTCAGAAACAGAATTAGGAATTTGTGAAAGTTGCTATTGTTCTTTGAGACTTTTTTACTGCAGTCCTAAGTGGTTGGGTTTTGAGCATCTCCATGTAGATTCTGCCTTTAGTAGAAAATGAAAGTACAAGGCTCAATACAGGAAATGGATTCTAAGAAAAATGATGCAAAGCTGCTTATTGTAGAGTTGCAAGTGCTGCTCCCAGTGCCATGCTTATTTGTCGGACTGAGAATTCTTAGTCAGAACTGAGGTAACACAAACTGCCAAAAGGAGGAGGTAAAAGTACAACTGTTGATGGGTCTCCAGAGTATTGACTTGTCTACATTTAACACAGGCCTATATAACTTTTCTATTGATTTTGCTGTTTGGTAGGTTGGTTTCATTGTGTCCAAACTGTAGAGCACAGATCACCCTCTCCAGGATGATAAGCAGGTTTAAATTTTCCTCGTGCTGTTGACTGACTTAAAATGTCGGGGCTTTATTTTTATTTTTTTGAAAAGCACGAAGGTGACCTTTCTTCCTCTTAATACTGGAGTCACTTAGAGGTTTTGTTGTTTTATGGGGTATAGATTGATACCACCATAATACTACTTTTGTTTTCTATAGGAGAGAGAGAATCTTGGAAATGTGAGTTTAAAAAAACGATGATGCTGATTTTCCTTTTCTTACCTCACCATTTTCCCTTCTTAAAATGAAAACCTTATGTTTTAATGCAGCTAGCTGCAAGTATATTCGTGTGTCCTTTGACACAAGCATTCCTTCTTGTCATGCATGTTTATTGATATGAACTTGAGGACAAAGTTTTGAGGATTGGTTTGACCATAGTAGATAAATAAATGATAAGTTTTACATTTTGTTATATACATCTCTGTGAAATGTGTTTCATTTCCTAAGGGAAGATGGTCACCACAAGCTTTACATTTTCGGTTTCTTTTTGTAGACTGAGAGCCTTTGTGAAAGGCTGAAGATAACTCAGTTCTAATCTTTAAGTGTCATAGGTGCCTAAATCTCCAAGCAGATGTGAAAAATGTCACTTTAGTCATTTTCTGCTGATGATTTTTCATCTGTTTGTTTCATGCTTTATTACAGTAAAATAACTCCTTTCGTTATATAACACAATCTTTTTCTTTGAAAGTCTCAAGAGAAGCAAACAATCATGAAGTTTAGCTATACACACTTCAGATTTGGCAGTGTTTTGCAATGATTTTCAGAGAATAAATTTCACTTTATAGATAAAGGAAATAATATCACAAAGCAACTAAATTATGAGACTGTTTGGTATTAAAACAGTGACACATAAGATGGGGTGGGGAAGGAACACCCGATTGCCATTATATCATAATGTGTTTCGTAGAATACTTAATCCAAGATGCTTCCGATAGACCACTTTACAGCTGCAACCACAGTAATTTAATATACCTCTGATAGATTGTCTTCATATTGAAATAGCTGCTTGTGGTTACATTTTGACCTTCAAAGGACACAGAAATCCTACTGTGTTGCTCTTGCATAGGCTCAGTGCCTAGTCACACTGCCTGTCAAAATACAGCAAAATGACTGCATGCTCTTTTAGAAGTAATTCTCTTTTTATTTGGAAGGTATTGCCAAGTCCACAAGGATAGGTGGGGGAGAATTTGTGTGAATGAATAACGTAGGGTGGGTTTCCATTTCTTAGATGTAGCTGCAGTGCAGTTTTTGTTTCTGTCTTTGAAAGGTAATCTGTGGTTAGCAGCTTTACATTTGGATTTCTGCTTCTGCATTTGGATTTGTACTTCTGTTTCCTCTTATCTTGATTTGATCGTTATTTTATATCTTCTTTGTGTTGACAGTTCACCAGTGCAGCGGAACACCACTGTTCACTTGGATAATGGTGAATACTGGTCCAGTCGTGCAGCTGTATACAAAGGGAAGTCTCACAGAGCAATCTTTGAAGACAGTCTCGAGAAAATATACAGAAACATGTACCGAAAAGCTTCTGGCATTGTTTCAGACCAAAAACCACACTCCTGATAGCAATCTAGCTGGAAATGCACAGTACACAATGTTGATATTTCTTATGAAAACAATTTTTATGTGACAAATATTTGTACTCTATTTTTAAGGTATAATTATGTCTGGGCAGGCTTTTAGAGAAATGGGGTTTTGGCATGGGTTGCCACTTGAATGCTACTAGCAGAACCACATTCACCCTACTACCCCCTGTATCATTATCAGGAGCAACACCTCCTCCCTAATTAAAAAAAAAAAAAGTACAAAGCCCCTCCAAAGCTAAGATGGTGTTGCTCCTTTGAGACTATCAGAAAATAGTCATTTGAAGACAAATAGGTCTGCTGGACATTCCTGCCTGACATAAGTCAGGTTTCAGCTGCAGTCAATTATTATTTAAATAATTAAATCTGTTCAGTAACATAAATAGAATTGGTTGAAGAAGCAATATGTCCTAGTGTTCAGAGAGGGTGTCTGAGGGGGAGGCAAATGCAAGTGTTGATATAAAAGCGTCTGCTCTGGGAAAGAGGGAATTGGAATGGTTTTCTAGAAAATTGGGTTTGGATTGTTTATTTTTGAGAAAAGCAGAAAGAAAAGTCTGATACTGACCTACAGATATGCTTTCAAAGTAGTTTCAAGCACCTTTAATCACATTTTCAAATAATGTCAAATTTTAAAAGAAACCCACCCAGATCTTTGTATCAGAAGAAAAGTTGTCTTCACATACCCTACGTGTTTGAAAGTTTCCAGGTTTTCTTGAGTGCAGTCATGACATTTACCATTATACTTGTGATTTTTAAAAATACAGATAGGAAATGAGTGGGGAGGGGGAAAGACTGGAGCTAGCCAGCAAGCTTGTATACCCAGTACGGGCTTTCTGAAGTTCCTGCATCACAATCCCACCTAATTTGGAGCCTGTCCTTCCCAGCCTGCTGGGATCCTGTTGGCAAAAATCGCATCCTTTTTGCTAAAGGCCACCAAATGTTCATCAGCAGTTCAATGCTTTCCCCAGGGATGGAACCTTTTCAGCCTTGCATTGAACAGATCCCACATTAGCAGACCAGGGCAAATTGCCCATCTATTGAAAAGCAGAATGTTTTAAAAGGGCAAGAGTGTCCATCTCCTGCTTCCTTTTAGAATGGGGGGGGAAAAAACAAATGCCTATTCTGGCTCCTTCCCTGACTGAGCGAACAGATTCAGTTACACCAATGCCATATTACCTGTTAGGATTGGATAAAGGATAAAGCTTGCAGTACAGATGGCAGAACATCTGACTGTAACCTGCCAGCATGCAAAGATAAACAAAAAGTTGGTCTACTCTGCCTTCCATCCTTTAATGCTGAGACAACATAATTGATTTGAGAAAGCAGTTGGTGAGCAATTATGCTAGTGGGAGAGCACGTTGAAAGGCTGTGTGCTTCTGTTTCAGGAAAGGGGACTCTCAAAGGAAGTGTCTTCCATATAGACATTTCTATTCCTTGTAGCAGTTAAACCAGTTGAAGTGGATTAACACTGATAACTTCCTGTCCCTGATGCCATTTAGCACATTACTGCTTTCAAAGGGCATTAGCTGCACAGTCTTATGGATAAGTGTTGATGCACGCTATGAAGTAGTATACTTTTTTTGCAGATTTGCAAAATAAAACTTACCCAAGCCATGCCACTGAAGGCATGATGGCTGTATTGTGCTACCAGTACCTGGTATGCATTCATTAGTATGTTCCTACTCTTTAGTAGTCCATAAAGGAAGAGTTTTTCTTGCTGCATATGAAAATAAATATATCCAAATCGTTCCTAAATAGGCACAGAATATTCTGAGAGAGAATTTTCCAACCTTTTAGCTTAAAATGAAAATCTGAAAGTTGCTGCAGTTTCTTGTATGTGTTTGAGCCTTAAAGATTTGCTGTTCTTCTCATGATGACCTAGTTTTCATTCAATATTATCTGTGTTTGCCCTTGCTGGTGTCACAGCTTAATGAAAGCTACTATCTTCTGAAGGATGGCTCTCCCCTTTGGCCTCATCTCATTCTATGATAGGGAAGTACTGTTTGTTTTTTCCCTCCCTGGCAATCCAGCATTGCAAACTTTAATCCCATTAGCTCAACGTGTAGGAGGCTGAATGCTGAGGCTTTGGGATTTTGTGTGTGAATGAGTAAGGACACAAGTTGCCATGAATTCAAGACGTGATGAGGGAGGTTGGAGGCCAAAGTAGAAAACCAAGGTAAGATTTCTGAGGGGTCCAGAAGCAGGGGGATGTATTGTTTAATTCCCCTAGAATTAATGCTAAAGAAGCAAAGCATACAGTAATATGGCAACCTTTCTTCTTCATCAAAGGCTAAAACTGGATAGAAGAAAAAGAAGAAAGTGTCATATATTGAATTCTGACCAGCATGAATATTGTCACTGAAGCCTTTGAAGGCAGTGTAGCAACAAATGAAGCAGATAGATTATGAGTGTTGGCCCTGCTCCAGCTGCAGAGGGAGATGGTGTGTACGTCTTTCTGAGTCAGCTGCTGCAGGATATGTGTTTCCCTCTTGGGTCAGAGTCATTCCACAGCTTATATGCTGTGATATGGCACAGTGCTTTTCCAAGCAATGTGCTGGAAATCCCGTTAGTTAATGGAAATTTTTTCTATGAAATGTGACTTAAGTCCTGAAGTACACTATCTGTCCATAAAATCTTCAGGCCACTTGGTTGTTTAAAGCTTTTGGCCCCTTCCCTGTTTCCTTAGCTACCTCTTCTATTAATACGCATATAGCTCAAGTGCACTGAGCACTGCTGCTCCTTTGCTACTGCAGCGTGTGATAAGTATAGGTTCAGGCAGCAAAGCAGTGTAGTAATAAGCTGTAATTGTTTAGTGCACCTTGCCTTCTAATACAATTTAAATCACTTCTATCAAATGCACATTTCTAGGTTCCTGAGTGGTGTCTTAAATAGTGTTTTTTTATGCTCATTCCCACTTTTTTCCTTCCCCAAAATGGTCTGTTAGTGACAGTGGGATGGTGTAACTCCACACCCATCATTTTACCTTCTGAAGGAAAGCTACCCACTTGAGTCTAGTAATAATGGGCTAGATTAAGAGAGAATTAGTGCACTTTCTATCAAGTCTCTCTCTTTCTCTTGTCCTCCCCAAGCTATTACAACCCATGAGTATTTTCACCAAATGTTTTGCAGAATCCAGTGTTGCTTGAAGTATGCAATCTAATCAGTGTAATATTTTAATGAATCGTTTTAATAAATCAGAGTTTGCTTCCAACTTGCTCCCTCTCCTCTCTCCTATAGATAACTTTACATAGCTTAGGACCTTGGGATGGCTCAGTAGGCAGGTAGTTTGTCTACTCATTCAGTAGGATGCCAAATCCTTTGCTGAGTAGTAGTTGCTTTGGAAATCACTCAGTCATTGACCTGTTGCGGATTAAAGGCACAAATGTCAAACTCTTTAATGATTTGCCTTATCAAAGTTTTCAACAAGAAGAAAGGAAGCTTAAATTGGTCCGCTGGGGACAAGAGGCATAGGGATGGATAGAGTAAGGAACAGCTTTGTGAGATGGATGGGCAAGAGTGTTCATACCCCAGATCTGAGAGGCTTAGATGATGAGTGCTGTTCTTTAGACTGTGCATCACGTCTGAATTTTACTATTGCTTAGGGGGTTGCCAAAATGGTGAGTGTAGAAAGAAATTACCTATAGAGGTTGGGAACCTGTTTTGGGGGTAAAATAACAGAACTTCTACCTCTGCTCAGTGTTGAATTAATAGTCTGTGCTAAAATCCTTCTCATTGTTACCTCAGCTGTAAAATGGGGAGTTTGTGCTCCACTGAAGCTTAATTAAATGACTGTAAAGTGCTTTGGGATCCTGAAGTGAATGTTACAGAAATTATTTTGTGGAAGCCTGGCTGAAAAGTCCCATCTCATCTCCAGGTTACTAAAAAGACCTTATTTTAATTTTCCCAGTTTTATTATTTTTTAATTAGACAATTATTAAGCAAGTCTTAATCTTATCAAGATAGAAACCTGATAAATTTAAGAAACTATTGAAAAAGACAACGAACTGTTTTACTACATGTGCTTTCAGGAGTTTGTCTTTACCATGGATATCCTAATCAGCTTACGTCTCTTGAATGATCTGGGTTCATTAAACTCATACTAATTGATCTTTGTTTGTTTGTAATCTTAATGCTTTAGCACTTTCTTCTAAGAAGGCTAACCAGCACTATTAACATCTGTCATGTTTTGTTCTCATCCTCTTCCTAGGAAGTAAGGGGTACAAAGGTGTGTGCAACTTGACAGTGGAAGTGTTTCTGTGGTGTGTTGTAGGTTTGTCAGAGAAAGTAAGTTGGGAGGAGTCTCTGCCTTTTCAGTCTGTTTGCAAGGTATTGTATTATATAGTTCTGATCTTCCTGATTTTTAGAATTGAAATTGTTTTCTGGAACACTGAACTATGCAAGAATCTTGTAAATCTTGTAATATGTAAAGTCTTAGTTATAGGAAAGCCAACCATGATGTTAATTACTTCACTGTTACAGAGTGATCATTAGCAGGATGCTGACATCTCAAGAGATTTAAGAGGCAATAAATTTGGGGAAACTTTTAAATCAGTGAAAATTAGCTTCTTCACTGCTTAATTGTAGTGAAAATGATTGAATCTAAGAGAGAACAGCATTTCTGTGGATGATCTTAATGAGCTACCTCAGTAACAAAACTTATATCTGGTGTAGGTGAGGGTCTCTGGTAGCAGCAGAGAACCAGTCTTCACCCAGTTCCTTTGAGTTTCAATGAATAAACTAGTGTTATGGGAAGTGATGAAGAGCATCTAATATCCTCGTTTCGGTCATATAGTGAAAAATTAAACACAAACCCCAATGCTTTTGTTAGTTTCTACTGCTTCGTCCATGGAATTCAAAACATTGTCAACCAAACCCCTTAGAAGTTGAGGCTGTAGCTCTGTTAGCAGTGTTGGCTTGCCAAAGACATTCAGTTTATTCCTTGTTTGTCTTCAGTGAGAAACTCTGAAGTGCAGTGATAATTTGTCTGAATGACATGGAGGAACAGTAATCCTTCTCCTTGCTTTATCAGCGTGGAGATTCTTTTCATATTTCTGTTCAGTTCTGGGTGATTGTTTCTGACAGAGAACTCTGCATGAGATGCAGAGATCTGAGCCATCGTCTCACCTCTACCTCTTCAGGGGAGGGAGCCTGCTGTTGCCAAGCAAGGTCTCTTTTGTTTCACAAGGATTTACAGAACCTGAGGATACAGCACAAAAACTTTGTTCTGCTATCAAACACTGATGCCACTGAATGGACAGGACCATACGGGATGGGGGTAGGAGGTTGAAAGTCGGGGTGGATCTGGGGAGATGTTTGGTGAATGGCTTTCCATGGGTTATGGATAATTCATGGTAAACAAATCAGCGTACCCCACAACCTGTGGAACTTATAAATATGCGTTGAAGTAACCAAAGCACCACTTATGTTGCTGAATGGTGGTAAATTCTAATGCTTATATTTGTATTGTTACACTGACTTCAATTTTGGGATGTTGAGATAATTGTGTTGCTACTAAGGCTATATGCATGAACTGCTTCATTCAGTACTCCAGTAGTAAACATTTGCTAAGAGGTTGCTTTCCCTGCTTGCCTTGTTTTCACCACAGTCATCTAGTGTTTACATACATTTTAGCCTCTGTGCCATTTTTGAAGGCTTTATTTGTCTCATTTACGTTTTTGGTTTGGATAATACTTAAATATGAAATCCATCTGTGAAACATATTGTATATTCACGTTGAGGGGTAAAACCAGTTTTTAATTAAAATTTTATACAGCGCTTGTATTTCACTTTGTCCTGTTTTATTATGAAACACTTCAATCTTCCTCCTAAAACACATATGTCTTGTGCGTTTCAAGATGTTCCTTGTTGCTCATGCAGAACCAGTTTCTGAGCTCTGTCAGCAGAGTGCCATATGTTCTGGGGTTCATTTAGCTTCTCTGGCGTTTGTGTAGGCAGCATATTGGATGTAATGCAGCTAAGCTCTGCTCCATTCTTTTCTTTGTAAACTTGTCAAGAGATGAAAAAAGCAGGGAGAAGAAAACACTGAATAATACTTGAGTGATTTGAATTATCAATAAGTTGTGGTAACTTGGCCAATCAAAACTGAGGTTTCTTGTGTACTTGAGGATTTTCCTTCAGTGTGGCTTATGCATAGCCTACAAAGTGATGCATCCCTCAGTGCTACCTGGTATTACACCCAAAATGAGTGCTGGAGATTGAGATATAACCCAAGCCATTTGGAAATGACAGGCATTATAAGCTCTCTTAATTGTGTGCTGATCTGTTAGTTTAAATAAAAAAAAAAAAGTGAGTAATAGCAGATGGGCATGTGAAGGGATTGTGCTTCTCTTTTTGTCTTCTGGCTTTGTGGAAAATAACTCTGCCCTGTTTCAATGCCTGGTACTGGAAAGGCAAATCCTGCCTGAGACTGATGGTGCCCTCATGGTAGTGTGGTGTTTTTTTTTTGTTTTGTTTTTTTAATCATTTTTCTTACCGATCTATTTTTTCCTTCCCTGTCCCCCATAAACCAGTTGGTACCATCAGTCTTTAATATACCAGCTGGTATGCAGGAACACAGCCCCGACTGTTTATTGATAGTAGTCATACATTGTCAGATACTGATCTTATCCGCCAGATGCTTTTCAGAACTGCTGTGGTGACTGTGACAGAGGACCAGAGGACCAAAGTATTCCTGTGATACTGTAACTAGAGCTTAAAAAAAAATAAAAATAAAAAAAGGAAAAAGAAGAATAAACTTGCTAGCAGAAGTAATGCATATTAAACTGTTTTCCCTTTAGTGAGGTGTGAGGCCAAAGGGGAAGGATTTGAGTGGCTGCTTGATCCGAGTGCTCGGAGGAGTGGGGAGGGAAACTTCTGCAGTCCTGCCCTAAGGTCAGTCAGAAATAACCAGCTGGAGTGACATGAGTGTAAACCTGGTTGAAGTGACAGGCAGCTCAGCTCCTGGGACTCTATTTACATATGTTTAAAACAAACAGAAAAGCTGCCTTTGTTCCTCAGGAAAATTATTTACTTGGCATTCAGCTCATGTATAAACTGGAACTTCTTTCATGGAAGACGTAGAAACAAAGCAACTGACATTTCTGCTTTGATGTGAGGCTGAAGCGAAGATTTGATTTTGAAATATGAAAGTAAACTGAAACTACCTCCAATTTAAAGGTGTTTTTTTTAATGACCTTAAAAGTTTTGTGAAGTTTTTTTTTTTTTCCCCTTCCCTTAGGGATAAGAAGAAATTATAACAGTAATCTTACTTATAGCTGTAAGTCTACAGAGACAGTGGCTGTAGGTTAATGAAAAATTGACACTGCTACTTGCCTGCGCTTCCAGCAGAATTTTTTTCGTCAAACTGATGTGAACTATTGCACTGCGTGAGTTGGTTATGAGTCTCACATATTAAATTGAATGCTGCTTTTGTGGAAGCCACGGGAGCGAGTCACAGCTGAATGTTTCAAACAACATTCCTGGTTTTGAATGAATGCAACAGAAATTAAAGGTTTCTTAAAATAGTTGCCCTGGCCCCTCCCTCCACACCCAAAAATAAAACCTGCCTGCTTAGGCTAAACCAGAAAGTGTTCAGAGGAATTGACCCCCGATGATCTCCATCTCCATACTGCATCCTGAGTGCTGGTAACCCAGTCTGACAGTACTCTGGTGGAGGGACCACACTGCAGAGTGCATTGAGTGCTGCGTGTGCAGGTGCTCTCAGGTTTTGCCTACACACACATCCTGCATGGCACTGGGGCTCCCAGGGGAACATCTTGTGGTTCACAAAGCGTTGTTCAAGTGCCCTCTCCAGGAGCATTTCCGCAGTGTATTTGAGGACAGCTTGCTCCGTTCACAGGAATAGTGTGCATAAATGGCGTGAACTTCGCAGCTCAGGCTGACTTGGTTCGTACTCTGACATCTTAATATGCTTGTTGTCCTTGGCACGGTGGTGCCATCTGGTCTTGCTTGGACAGCTTATCTGTAATACTGCGCAGCATCATATGTTAGCTTTTGCTTATGAAATCTTGGGCTGTGCTTGAATGGTACACCGAGACTGCGGTGCCAGCCTTTGACCAGATGGCAACTGCTGATACAACATTCACCCCGTCTACTGTGATGGAGGTGGATATGCGGCGGTGCTGGAAACTTCATTTCAGACAAGGGTGGGGAAAGCATGAAGACTTCTTCAGGCATTATGTGTCATTTTTGGTCAGGAATTGGAGATGCCCATAGACTTCCTTGTTCCACTTGAAGGACTCTGAACCTATAACTGATTCTGGAAGTGCCCAGTACTTGGGTAATGGCTGTTTCAGGGCAGAAGCATTTTCCAGCTTTCCTATATGAGTTTCAAGATTCACTGGGTCAGGGAAAGGTGCAGAAAATACATGGCTTTGAGGGTTAGGGTACACTTGAGGAAAGGCAGAGAAAAGGCTTTTCTTATTTGCTAAAAATTTGTTACAGACCTACACGCTATTGATGACTTTTTAAATTAAAAGGAATCAAGAAGACTTGTTAAGTAGTGATAAAATGTTTGGTTAAACGCCAACCAGTTTAACAAGTGTGGTTTTTGTGGCTCCCCAGAGATACACAAATGAACACTTGGAAATCCTCTTGCCAATACGTCAGCATTTTGAAACTGTTAAAGCTTGAGGTTTTAGCAGGGTTATGCTCTTTTGTCTGGGGTTTAAACCATTGCTCCTACCCTAGTATCTGGGTAAGATAAGATGAATCCACTGAAGGTAAGAAAGTTGGCTTTGTAGGAGTGTTGGAGAAGCACTTCTTGACTACATAGTTCAAAATTGTTTTAAGCAATCTACCCTTTAAGCACAACGCTTCCAGGCAGAGGGCTGCGGAGGGGAGTGGTGGGATTCCCCTTGCCTGAGATGTCCAGAGCCGGGAACATGGGGCACAGCAGTGGAGGGAAGTTGAAATTCATGGGTATGATCAAAGTAATCTAAAAGCCATTTTGTTTGTTTGTTTGTTTGTTTTTTGCATTACTATTTGCAGTAAAAGTAGGAGGGAAATTCTGATGTGTTCCTTGGTGTGTATTTATTTTTTTAGTATTTTACTCAAGAGAAGGGAATAACCCAACACAAAAGAATAAAAGAAACCAGCCCATGTAAGCTCAGTAGGTGCGTTTCTTTTCCTAGCAATGACCAGAAGGGTGCTGGGACACCGTCAGCCAGGCCTCCCCAATAAACCCACACCTCCCCTCCTCTCCCTCAGATCTCTCCGAAGTTTTACTCTGATGTTTACTTCCCTGGGACTACATGGAGGGCAGTGGTCCCTGCAGGGATGAGAGGTGGTGTTCCTGGGTAGGATGCCCTTTAACCCAGCAAGCAGTGACTTCCAGCTGCGCTTCCCCTGAGCAGGTGAGGTCTGTGCATGCTGTTCCCTCTCTGTCCCAGAAAATGAGTGCAAGGAACCAGAGAAAGCACGGAGCTAACTTGCTCTTCATCCGGCTACAATGTGTAGAGTTTCATTTCTTTCCTTTATAATAAACTGTGCCTACCATAGCGTATATTCTTTTAAATAACATTTTAAAATATTTTCCGGTAAATTAAAGTGATTGACATGTTTGTAGGGTTCATTGTTAATTTCATTTCCTTTGGCTCAGCCAGCCAGATAAAATGCAATGTTATTAATCTTTGTATAAAAGAAGATCCTTTGCCGAACAGTAATAAATGATCTTGATAGATTTGTCAGGAAAATGAATGATAATCATTTGCAGATAGACACAAGCCTAGTATGGAAGATTAATAAGAAAATATGTATTGGCATCATTAATAACATCTGCTGCCAATGGACTTGTATATTGGTTACAGCTCCGAAAGCGATGCATTCTTGTTAGGATATTGCCATCCATCACGGGCGGTGAGGAGCGAGGCCGGGCCGCGTCCCTGCGGCGCTGACAGGCGGCTCCCGGGAAGGGCTCTGAGGAGTGCAGCCGCAGCCGCCTTCCCGGGGGGCTGTCAGCGCTGCAGCCCCATGCTGCCGGGCTCTGCCTCTCCCAGTGCCAGTGCTAAAGCCTCTTCTGGGCCCTGTGAAGGTGCTTCTTCCTTGCTCTGGGGCTGTAGATGGTTGGATTCGTGGATGATGCTGATTCCCTCAGGGGCTGTGCCCAGAAGGTGCTCCAGCACAGAGTGGCTCGGCCTGCAGCAGCTGCAGCTCGTCCCACCTCATGTATCTCTAAAAATGTTTCTCCAACCCTGCCACAGGTGTTTAAGCACTTGTGTGTCTTCAGCTGATGTGGCTTTGAGACAGACCCTCTCCTTTTGTGGATGCATAACATGTTAGGAGGTGAAGCTCTTCACAGTTACTGTGTTGGAGTGTCACGGGCCTTGTGTTTTGGCCTTGCTAATCCCTGTTAGGAAAAAAACATTTTATTTTGGGCATATAATCACTGCACCTGCAGAGCCTCAGGTGGGGTCTCACTCCTTTACAAACTCCAGCATGCTCCTGAGATGCTGCCCAGAGCTGCAGTGCTCCCCGACACAGCATCACCTGCAGTGCTGGGGGCCAAGAGCTGTCCTGCCATGCCCTGTCCTCATCCCTGTCCTCATCCCTGTGCCTCGCTGACATACAGGGTGAGTCTGAGGGAGAGCAGAGGGGCCAGTAAGGCTGTACTTGATGCAAGGAGGAGAGCAGGAGCTGGAGGCACCGTGTGTGTTCCTGTGTGACCTGTGGAGAGATGCACATTGACCAGAAATTACCAAGGCTGGGAGATGTAGAGGGGAGCTAGGATGTTGGCAGACAAAAAGAAAGGAACAGAGGGACTAAAATGAGGAATAACATGGAGTGGAAACCCTCCTCACCTCCAATCTTACAGGGAGAGAAAAACTTTTTTATTTTTGATATTTTTTGGATAAATATTGTCCTTTCCTGGAAAACACACATCAAGATGTTTTGAGACAACTGGTTTATTTTCAATAAAACATTTCAGTCTCCCCTCTCCCTGATGTTTCTTTTTCTTTTGTTTTGCTTTCATGGTTCAAAGCACAGTAGTACGGCACGTAAATTTACCAATGAAATGAATTTCTCCTGCGGGGTGCAGAGCTGGCTGCATCTGGCAGTGCGGATGTCACCACTCTTCTGTGGCCATGCTCAGGGATGCGGCCACATCTCTCAAAGTATATTAGTTCATTTAACTGACATAGGCATCGACATTTTAGAGGAAACGTTATTTGGGATCCACAGGGTGAGATGAGGAGCAGGAGAGTCAGGGCCGTATGTCCATAGATAAAACTACTTGTGTCATTAAAAAAAAACAAAACAAAAAAAAGCTTATTAAACTCCACTTCTATTCTCTGCAAAACTAAATTTTGAGGGGAGAAAAGAGTAATCTCAAATGTTAAAAAAACAAAACATCAAGAAAACACTGCTGTGGTATTCCTCATCCTGCTCTGTGCTGCTTTTCCCATGGCTTTAGAGGATGTGTGGTCCAAAAAGCCAATAAAGCCATTGAGCTAAGTGCTGCTGAGGGGCTGTGTGGCTCAGGAGCACTCAGCGCCTCGCTGCTCCAGGCGAGGAGGCGCGAGCCTTGGTATTTCTAAATGCATTAGAAATGTGTCCATTATTATTAGGCATTTACCAGCTATTAATCACAGCTGGTAACTTGATTTCCTCTAAATGTTTTGAGGCACCCTCTGATCTGGGCACCACCTGCTCAAAATTGAATACTCGAAAGGCAAGGCAAGCTCTGCAGCGTGTACCTCCTCCCATGGGTACAGATGGGCCACTGACGGGGCTGAGAGTTCCCTTATTTAAAGAAAATGTACTTTTTCATCTTAAAAAAAGTGTTTGTATTGATCTGCACACACACACACACAGACTCTGTCTTGCACAGCTGATTCATTCTCCTCTACTCTAATAGAGGACGAGTGGGGAAACCACGACCTATATTGGGTAGGCACAGGGTCTCGTGTCTCCGCTCTTTGCAGGATCATCATTTACCGTCTCCATCTTCATGGCTTTGTGCTTCACCTGATGCCCTCACTCCCTGCATAGCCCGTGCCCGGTAGCTCAGCCGTGCCCCTCCAGTGCTGGAGCACAGAGGGTCACATCCCCATGGGTGTTTTTAACCTTCCTCAGATGCATGTCCTAACCACCACATCATGATATTAGTGTGGGCACTGCCACCTCTTCCTACGGAGGTGATTTAAAATGTGACAGCAATGCCACATTTCAGGAGGGTACCAAGGGGGGATCAGAGGGGCCCAGATAGAGGTGACCCAGCACAAGGTGTATTCATTTTCCCCACCACAGCCCGGACACCGTGGTCCCAAGGAGATCTTTGTGCATCAGTGCAAGGATATATAACCACAATAACCCAGAGTCGAAATTGGCTTTGTTACTGAGGCACTTTTATTGCTGTAATGCTGTTAAAGGGCAGGATTGGTGCGGTGAGCAAACAGGCTCGTGCTGCGAGCGGGAAGACCAGGGGGCTGGTGGGGGACCCCGTCCCTGCTGCCAGTGCCAGCTGGGGGGGTCCAGCACAGGTCCTGGGGGGCTGCAGGAGCATGGGTTGTTGCTGCTGAGCTAAGCCAGTGCTCCACGCTAACCCTGTCTCAATTCGGCCATACAGAAACCTGTGGTAGTGCTTCACACCAGTGTAAACCAGGAGTCCTTCTCCTGCAAGCAAAGTCAGGTCGCAGGAGGGCAGCGAGCACCACAGCCAGGTTTTTCCAGAGCCCTTGCCCTCTGCCAGGCTCGGCTCTGCACCTTTTAAAGCTGCCCCCAGGCCTCTTGGCTTGACCCACACATCCTGGATGCGACCGGTTGTGAGTCTCAGTCACACCTTGTCTTAGTCATGGACCAACCTGAGCCCCGCAGGCATTTCCAGCAAGCAGGGCCTCTGGGGACAGCCACCCCAGGCATGCCAGCACCACGGGGACCATCACCAGAACCTCTTTCACCTGACACCTCCAGCTTGGACATGAAGTTGAAAAGCCCTGAGAGAAACCAAAGCCATGTGCTGCCGCCTCACCCCACCTCAGCCAAAATATCCCCACAGAAAGACATTAATGGTCAGCAGGAGAACAGCGTTAACATTGCAAACAGTCCTCCACAGGGGCTTTTCCTCGATGCTGGTGAGTCTCCGCTCCAGGGCGGCCTTCTCCTCCTGGGACAGGGTGCGCGTGGGGCCAGGAGACAGGCCACAGAACCACAGGTAGAGCATTTTCCACCAGGGAGGCCTGGGTGCTGCGAGAAATGGAGAAAATGTTACTGCCAGGTTGGGACACGGCCCTCCCTCATCTGTGTGTCGGCAGGCCTGTGGGGCGTGGGGGCACCTCAGGTGGGACTGGAGATGGAGATGGGAAGGGGAAGGAGCGAGCTCTGCCTCTACCATGTACATGTGCTGATTACTGCAGGTTGATTGCAACACCAGTTGTTCATTAGTTAATTAACGGAGCTGTTCCCCTTCCTCCCCAACCCAGCTTCCTTCCACTTTCACATATTCCTGACAGCATGATGGTCCATTTAGAGATCTCCTGGCTTGTTTATTACACGTGACAGGCCAGGTGAAGTATGTGCTTTAATTGTCAGTCCTGTGCTGTATATATTGCTCTGGCTGTTCTTTCCAAATATAACCTCTTTTTTTTTTTTTTTGAAAGGTAGAAGGCCTTGAAAACAAGGTGTTACCCAAGGAAAAAAATCTCATTAAACTGTCAGATCCTTTGTTCTGTGTTTCCTTTCCTATCATTACTATTCACAAAATTACCAAGACATTTGTTTATAAAAATATGAGCTAGTTAAGTGAACTAGGAGTTGATAAAAAGTAATAAATAATGATGAACAGCTGCATTCAACTGAAACCCAAACTTACTCTAATGGGGAAAAAAAATGAGATTTCTTTTAGTCGTTCACTTTTGTTTAGCTTGGCTGTAATTGGTACCAGTGTCCTTTGGCCTGACCAACAAAAGGAGGGAGTAGCAAAATCTTGTGTATGTGCCTTTCTTCTGAGTTCTTCTGCTCTGTAACCTTGGAAAGTTAAGCTCAAAACCAGAAAGCTGGATTATTATTTTTTTCACTCTGAACAGAACTTGCACGTGTAGCATTTCCTGCTACTCTTCCGACCATAATGCCATTTTGATGCAGGATATTACAGCATCGCTGAGTGAGTTTGGCCAGCACAGACCACACAGGGGCAAGGAGAAGGCATCTCGAGCACATGGACAAGGGCTTTATCTCCTGGCAGTGATGGGGACAGGAAGGGACACCATCTGTACGTGCTGATTACAGAGCCTGCCATGAGAGTGCTACCACTAGCTACTGCTTTGATTATGCTTGCAGGATCAATACAGATCTCCTCAAAGGCATCTTGGTGAGACAGAGAAATAGCTGCAGTGTCGTGGCACAGAGCCCCAGTGCCAACGGGAAGACCAACAGCCACACTTCCATTCATCACATCTCTATAACTGGTATCCCCATAAGTACAAGTCACTGACTCCAGTGACTACAACTCTCATGAGTTTTGGAGGGCATGTGTGTGAGATCCTGGCTATACACACACATGCACATGAATGTGCTTGTCCACAGTCAGGCACCTACCTTCCTCCTCCTTATTGCCCAAATCTGCACTTTCAAGCATGTCGCCCTCTCCATTGGCTGAGTTCATCTGCGCTGATTCGCTCTTGTAATTTCTCAGGTCAATGTCAGGTGATTTTTTGTGCCTTGTCCACCATGTCAGGCAAGCGAGCTGCAAAGAGAGATGGAGAACACACAGGTTATGGCCTGCCCGTCCCAAACTGGCATGTAAGTCATGGCCCTCTTTGGGGAGACAGGTCCAACATGGTGCTGGCAGAGCAGTTCTAAGGTGACATTTTTTCCCCTGCTTTTCCCTCATCTCCCTTTTCTGCAGATACCTACACACTGGGGAAAATTAAAAAAATAAAATAAAATAAAAAAATTTAAAAGCTGGTATCATCCAGTTGGAGCTGAAAAGATGAAAAAAAATGAGTTAATCTAGTTTCGATCCATCTGTTTTTTGTTGTTGTTTTCTTTTGTTTTGTTGTTGTCATTCTGCTTAATCAGTTCCATCCCTGTCTCTACCAGAAACCTTTTAGCAGACACTGCGGAAGCAGACTCCTTTTTGCTCAGCTTACTGACATGAAATAATGATGAAGATCTGTGTCCAGAACAGCAGCCCTCCAACAGGGAAAGGGCAACAAAGTCAATTAAAAGGGGGAAAAGAAAGAGAGAGAAGGAATAAAAAATTAAGATAACTCTCTCTGATTATGGCCAGCTACAGACAGCAATTGTACCCTCATCACAGGAAGATCAGCTGGGTGTTAGCATGCTGTGGGTACACAGTATATGGCTGTGGGTACATTGATATCTAAGTGGCTCTGTGGGACATGGGGAGAGACTGGAGGCTCTTGTGTCCCATCCCAGTTGCAGTTTAATAGGAGGAGAAAATCCAACATGAACATTAAACTCCACAGTTGAGACAATCTCACATCAAAGCAGAAACCTGCCCTTCCAAAGGAGCTTACCTCAGGGCTGTGGGTGGGACGAGCAGCAGTATCGTGTCTCTGCCCTGTGACTGCAACAGCACAGAGGGACAGAGCCATGGTGGAGATAAACAGGTCACAGTTTGCAGCGAGGGCAATACCATGCATCAGACCAACAGGTGTAGTCGCAAGAAGAAAGGAATGGGCACACGCTGTAAGACTTGTCTGTACAAACGTCTCTTCCCTCTCTCTTTTATTTTTTTTTTTTCTTCATTTGTTGTGTTGGTGTTTTTATTTATGTTTAACTCCAGATTTCTCTATTGGTCTAATACAAGACATTACCATGCCCTGCATTGTCCTTTCAATGACAAGCCATGAAGGATGATCCGTTCTGGAAAGGCTTTTGTGGCTGCAATCTCCTCTGCTTTACAAAACTAGGATGTCTGAAGCTCATGTCCTGGGGTAGGTCTGAACATCTTCTCCTCACTTAGCCACAGGAAGCACGCAGGGATGGGTTCATCCTGCAAACCCCACAGCAGTCCTTTTGCCAGCTGTGGGTTAACCATCCCAGGGGCGCAGGGCTTTAAATTCAAGCTGCAGCTGCTGCTTGTTTGGCCGACCGTGCACGCTGAGCAGCTTGGTGGCACTTCCTAACTTCTGCATGCTGTGACCGTGGCAAACAGCAAGGACTGCACTCATCAAACCCACACAAGGTTCACGGCCTGCCCTCCCACGGGATGGGACCAGGGGCAGCGGGGCTGTGCTGCTGCTGACAGGCCAGGCAAAGTCGTGCGTTTGCCCGATGAGCGACTGCCTCCCTGCTCTGCCCGTATGGAGATGAATGTCTCGAACGGGTCACTTACAAAATAACGTGAGTTTAATTTTTGAATTTTGCACACACAAATGTAGGCAGCAGTTTCCAGCTGACATAAAATGTTGCATAATTTCCAGAAGATTTATAGCTTTATTTAAATCATTTTCAACCAAGATGAGCATTGGGCAGGGCTAATCTTTCTTGTCATGATGTGCTAAATTGCTTTGATTTGATGATCCTCATCTTTCTCAAGGATTCTTTTCTCTTTTTTTTTTTTTTTTTTTTAATCACTTAGAAAATGTCACTGGAACATAGCAAAGTTTCAGGGTACTAAAGCGTCTGAGAAACTTTTTTTCTTTTCGCTTCTCTTCCCATGTGTCACTGAGTGACTGTCACTTCACATCCCAGTGAAGCCTGCAGGGGCTGGAGTTTCCCTGGGGCTCAGACTCTGCCAGGTGGGAGCAATTCTCAGTTGAAAGCAGCATGGACACACCAGGTAACCTCCTCACATCTCACCACTGAGCCACACAGGCTGCTGCTTTGCCTGTGGCCAACCTGTTCAACAAGGCAAGCCACCACCCTAGAGGTGAAGCCTCATGTTGTCTACAGCTCCTCAGCAGGGGTTACAAAACGTTTTGCTCTCAGTGGCACCACAGGGTGCAGGGGGAGCACCAGCCTGCCCAGCTGCAGCACCTCAGCAGTGCACGGTGTGGGGCCAGGCCAGCCACAGCTGGTTCAGTTCTCCTCCTGAGCTCTGCACCTGAAGGAGATGCTGAATCCAGACCTCAGCACACTGGGAAAACATCCCCAGCTCTGGAGCACATCAGCTGGAACTGCCTATCCATCAGCCTGTCAGCACGAACCCTGACCCCTGGGGACGTTACCTGCCTGCATAGCTCTCTTTCTGTGGGCTGGTTCTTTCCCTTTTCACCCCCACATTCTCCTTGGACAAGGGAGTTTGCAATAACTCAGCAAAGTTTTTCTTTTGTTGTTTGTAAACTAGAATAAATCCTTCTGTTCCGAAATGCCATCTGGCACCTGACAGTTGTGTTTCAGCTTCACAGTCTCAAATTTAATTGTAAGCTCTTTTGCAGGGTTTTCAAGGACGGCGTGACACAATATGGACTACCTACAATGAAGACATATGAACTCTGGAGCATACCAAACAAATTCCTTGCATACTTGTTTTCCAGCACAGCATCAATCACCACAGGGATGGGAGAGTGTCCAAAACAGCCAGAGAAAATGCTACAGCTTGCAGTTCTTGGATTGTAATTCATTTAAAGCCAGGCACATTAGCCGTACCGCTCTAACATCAGATACAAATCTCTTTTCTCCTTTTGCTCATTTGCTATCTGAAAAGAATTGGGATTCAATATTTAAAGTTGTCCAGTGTAGATCTTCAGCTGATGTAAAGTGGCATAACTGTGCTCAGCAGCTGTTCCTGGTCTTTGAAGGCGATGAAGCTATGCTGATTTACATCTGCTGAAATCTGATCTATCACTATATTTCCTTGGCTTTTCTTTTGGTGGCTTGTTTTTTCTTTTCCTTTCACGTGACAAAATAAATGGTGTAATTTCTAGCCTTTATAAGGTGTCTTTCATCATTACTTCTCAAAGTGTAGCACAGATAAGGGCTGGCAGAACTAGCCCCACACAATGTTTATGGGTGACTATCTGAGGCTCTCAAAGCGAGTTGTCCAGCACCTGGGACTGGGAAGGGCCAGAGCTTCAGGCAGCTCTGGCTAGGATGCCTGCTGCCCCTCAGCCACCATCACGGTGACATAAAATATCTTCACTACAAGTTTGCTCACTTGCATGGCAAAACCCAGCAACTTGAGGTTGCTAATGGCCACCCAAAATTCAGGTGCTAGCTTGGGTCCAGGTGGGCTGACACATCCATCCCGATTTCTACCTCCTGCTCTTTCTTCTCTCAGCCTTTCTGTCCTTGAACCATCTCAGAGTGGCCACAGAGCATCTCATAGGGTTATCTCAGCATTCCCATAGCACCTCGTCAGGGCACCAAGGGAAAGCACACCACTACAGGTCACCATCCAACCCTGTTCATGTGCTCATGTCCAGGGCAAAAGTTGGGCCAGTCTGACCAAGGAAAAATGAAAGGTGCTGGTTTTAACAATGCCCACTCAGATTCATGCCAGACATGCAGCAACCCAGCAATATTGGCACCTACTTCAGCTTCCCAAGGGTATCTAATCACATCCTGTATGGTATTAAATATGGTTCATAAAATCCAGCTAGCTACGATATACAAAGCTTCTTTTGTCTAGCAAGTCAGGTTAGGCAGGCAAGTCCTTCTTAGTACTTGGTTCAAGTATTGATAAATATGTTACATTTTTTTCTAGGTTTTCATGCATCTACAAGACTTTTTTTCTCCCTCCTCCCCCAACACACGCACTCCTTAGGGCATGTTTTAACTGTTTTTATACCTCAGAGGTCAGAGTAAAAGCCTTCTGGTGCTGCGGCCAGTTTTTTCACTTTCTGAACTGTTGGTATGATGTTTGCTATTTGCTAGTTCTGTGTTAATGCATCTTATCTTGCTATTGCTGTGGGCAGGGAGCACTGAACACGTTTAGTTATCACAGGTCAGATGATGAGTGGAAACTCATTAAACCACAGTAATTAATTGCTGGCAACCATCTGGCCACCCCTGAGCAGTAGTGAACAACGTAAGCTGCAGAACTAATGGTGCCTTCTTGCCAGTATTTCTCTCTCCCATGTGGATCCTCTGATAGCTAATAAAAGATGAGACTTTATCTCAAAGCAGACACAAAGGCAGTCTCTCTCTCTCTGCCTCTCCTCTATCTGAGCACCTGCTTTCATGTAATCTTTAGGAGCTGGGTATCTCTGACACCACTAACATTCAATCAAACATTGATGGTGCTGGTTAATGCTTTACAAGTTATGAGGAAGCAACAGATAGAAAATGCTGTGACAGCATCACCCTCATTTCCTCATGCAGTTAGACAGGGGGGAAAAAAAAAAGGTCTTTTAAATCTATCCAGCAACCTTTGTTTGGAGGTAGATGGCAGTTTTGTTATATTGACAGCTGCTTTAAAACTTGGGACTGGGAAGAGTTGCTTTAAGGTTTTATTATATAATGCCTCCCAACTCTGCACCATGTGAATGTGTTAAGTAAAAGAAAGTTGTGCCTGACTCAAAGTTATTAAATGTAATTGAGATCACATTGGGACAAAATGTTATTTTCCTAAATGCCCATGTTGCAAAAGATATTAATCTTGTTTGCCTGCAAGATTGATGCTGGCTCTGCTGAAACAGGGTATATGCTACAATTAGATATATTTAATTCCTCCTCAGCAGTGCTCCATAATATGATTTCCTCTCCTTCCCCCTTCTTCTTCTCTTTCTATTCCAGCTATGATGGGCTGTGGTGTCAGCCCAGCTCTAGGCACAGCATGGAAACTCGCACTCAATTTCAAGCACTCAGTGCCTTGGGAAGCATTAACACTATGAGACCTGGGGAACAGAAAGCTGAGGAGCAAGTGCTTCTTTGCAGCGTATGCTTTACACTCCACTTCTCAGCCATGGAAGGAAAAGAAAAGGACAGATTTCAGAGATTTTTGGAAACCAAACGGGGCTTCTGAGAAAAGTCACTTACCTTTTCTTCAGGGATTGGGGGGGTGCAGAGACTAACAACGACAATGACAATGGCAGTGAGGACGCAGAGGATGAGCGCAAAGTAGAGGTAGTGCAAGTCCTTTAGCACAGCTGGTCTTCTGTCCTCCTCACCGCAAGACGGTGTGCTATAAATAAACTCGATGATCATCCGAACGAGTCCAATAGCCAGCCCAACCACAAGGCCCCAGAAAGCACCCTGAGAAAAGGCAGACACAAAGAAAAGGTCACTGCATGTTACCCTTGGTTGAAGTTCCCTTTCTCTGCCTTTTTTTTTTAATTCAGCTCTTTGATAGACCTGATGGCATCTCACACTGACATTCATCAAAGGAGGATGTTTTCAGCTTAAAATTCTCATTTTTCTCTTTCTGCTCTTGAACATGGAATAGATAGAGCACAAACAATGCAAGAGTCTCCTCCTAGCAACAAGCCTCCAACTAGACTTCGAGGCATCCTCCCTAAAGTGTAGAACAACCTTGGCTTTTGTGATTTCAGAGGAGACTGCCAAGAAGCACCACTTGCAGTGGCTTCTTGGAAGCAAACACACATGCACTAGAGACTGGGCTAAGATCCACTAATGCATGCCAGGAAAATTCTTTCTAATTGTCACACTTTAGCTGGACTGGCTCTGAATCTAAGGAATCTCCTAAGCTAGGTAGTGAAGGGAAAATTATTTATTTATTTTATCAAATTAAATATGTGCATCAATTGGTGTTTTACATCCCACTTACCGGCTCATTAATTCTCTTGCAGAAGATTGCCAAGATAAAGAGAGCTGTGATCGGTGGAGCCAGGTAGCTGGTTATAGACTGAATGTAGTCAAAGAGCTGGCCACTGTTGGCTGACTGAATGATGGGGATCCAGAGAATACTGATGACTACCAGGATGAGGATAAAGACTCTGGAAGATGAGTATAAAATTGTATTAGCTCTATAGTTGGAGGAGTCCACCTGAAAATGAAATGTTGCAGCAAAATAAACTTACAATTGCTTTCAGAATTTCCTAAGAATAAAGCCAGAGATCACTGTCAAGAGTAACGTACACAAGTAAAGACAAAATCATTCTCCTTTAGAAGGTCAATTCAGTCAAATCCTGGGGTTGATTTCATGGATTTCAGAGTGAGCTGTGCTGGGACTTGCAGTCAACATGCACAAGAGAGCCACAAGGGCCTGGTGACTCTAACCACGAGCTCGGTCAGTGCAAGCCCCTCATCTCCATGTGTCTTAGAGAGTGACATGATCTTCAGAGGACTTCCTCTTGGATGCAACAGAGGAAGATGGAAGCTGTGATCATTAGGAATTTTTCTGCCACCTCTCCAAGACGATAATGCACTCAGTCTGGTGTCCTTGACAAATTCCAACACATTTTCTGGTTATTAAAACTGCTTCTGGGATCTCAGGTGCATACCACAACCCTCCTTCATCTTGCATTGCATGTTGTAGAGGTTTGCCCATATTCCCTCTCACTACTTCACAGCAGTGGAGCAAGCTATTGCCTGCATCCCTCACCTGTCCCAAAATGAAGTTTTGAAACTTCTTGCTAGCTTGTGACTGGAGAGGGAAACACAGTACAAACATACAGAATGCAGCTTAAATTCTGCTATCAAGAGGAGAACTTTATATGCCCCTGATATAATGCAGTGCTAAAGCTTGCTCGTAAAGGGCACTATAACTTATCACAAAGATAGAGAGCTGGGAGGCCCAGCTCATCAAGCCTGCTCTTTTTCATGAAAAAGGAGCAACTGCAATGTATTGCTCCTGTCTGGTGCAAAAATAACGTGTTTTTAAAGACCTCTGGTGATGGTGACTCTAGAGTACTTTTGGTTTTTCTAAAATACAGATTTAAGGCAGTACTTATGCTAAGTTAAGAGAAGAGAGGGGCACTGATCTACTTAGCACAGTGTTTCTCTCTGACTACATCTATCTGAGGTGAAGCTGGACAAGGTAATGCTCTTTCCCATGCTGTGTTCCTCTTCTATGTTTTTGGCACTAGTTTTTTTCTTCGTGGGTCCAGACTGAAGAATGTAAGTGCTGCAGTCAAAACATGATGACAGCAACAAGACACAAAGAAATGTAAGGACCTGCCCACAATCATCAGCTCCTGCTCTGAAGCCTGTTTGCGGATCCGCTGCCAGATGTCTATAACAAAGAGAGTGCTGCTGCTGTTGAAAATGGAGGTGAGGGAACTCATCAAGGCTGCCATCATCACGGCAATCATCAAACCCCGGAGCCCTGGCGGAGAAAAACATGGAAAAAAATCAGGACTAGACCCTTTGGATTCCCAGCACTCTTTTATCTTCCGGCTGGCTGGTAACTGCAGGAAGATTTCCTTATCTTTAGGATGGATAAGGGCAGTTTGATTCTACATACAGCCTGGCTCAAGCCCACCTCCACGAATGTAAAGGTTTCTCACCATCAGGCATGAGCTCAATCACAAGTTTGGGGTAGGCAATGTTGGAACAACCCACTGCTGCTCCACAGACCCTTCTACAGATGTCTGGGTCCACGCAGCCCACTTCATCTGTAGGATACAGGAAAATAACAAGAAGTCATGTAAACACTGTTGAACCATAGGACACATAACTCAAGGGAACAAATCTTGATGCCCCGTGTAGGTAAATATAAAATCAGAAGTGAAGTTGGAATGCAGCTAGAGCAAGTAGAGCTGAAGTATTTTTTTTATGTCCTAAAATAAAGGTGAAACTTTGAGATGACATATTGCAGTTCTGTTCAGGGTACTGACATAAGTCTCCCGGATGCTACGTAATTGTAGTCATTGATGATTTGTTATTTGGGGGAACTGCAGAGCTTCCATGAGCCTGTCAGCTGGGTTGCCAATGATGCTGCAGGCTGACTTATTCCTATTTCATGAAGTCTGGAAGCACGTGAGGCACTTTCCTCCAGGAGCAGTGTTTCTAACCAGGACATTCTCCCCAGGAAGTGGCATGCTCTGGAGGAATGAGCAATGACATTTCCTTGGGAGAAAACACGAGGGGAATGCTTGTTCTTCCACAAAGGAGGGCTGTTTCACATAATCCACCGGGAACTGCATGAATCTGTGTGGGAGATTGCCAAGACTCTCACCAAATATACAATGGAAGTAATCCACAGGACCTAAAGGGCAACCTCAGTGCTTCATATATTTCTTGTCATCGACTCCATCTAGATAGATATACATAATGCCCACAGCATGGAGCTCTTTGTTCCCAGAGGTACAATCTGCCCCATAAGGATACCCCCACTAATTTCTTCTGCTGTGGGAGCACTGAAGGTGGAAGAAGGGCATGGGAACATCTGTGCACAACGGGAATAAATACAAGTATGCCTGCAAGACAGTGGAGTTTCTGAGGTATAAAAGTGCTGAAGGACCTGTGTGGGATTAGTGATCATACAAGGTGTAAAGCCCTGTGGTGAGGAATATGGGAAGGCTCACCTGGGTAAAGAGCTCTGCTGATCATCCCTGGCATGACGATGAAAAACATAGGGAAGATTTTCAAATATCCTCCCAGCACTGATCCACCTTTGGCATGGGAGAGGTTCTTGGCAGAGAGTGACCTCTGGACTATCACCTGCAATTGGTCAGAAAGGGAGTGGGGAGTAAAGCTGGAGCACTGCAGAGAGAGCAGGATCCATCTCTCCTCTTGTTCTCATGGATGACTTTCATGCGACAGGATCCCAGAGTGTTTTGCATGCCAATGGCAACTTTCCCATCTCGGTTGACTGCAGCCTGCTGCCACTGCTCAGAGCTCAGCGTACAGGCTATGGCAGAGGGCAGCATGGAAATTTCCTTTAGAGGAATCATTTCGCCCTTGACTGAAGTGAAGCCACCTTGAGGACTGGAGACAGCAGTTATACAGCAGCAAGAGACAAGGAATGAAGCAGATGAGGGTGTGTTGGTAAAAGTTCAGTGGTGGGTTTTGGTGATTATCCCACCTTGAACCACAAAAGCACAGTTTCTTAAGAAACAAATACAGTTCTCCCTGTCGTAACTTGGATAGGGATAAGAAACGTGAGACCTGCTGGAATATGAGCAGCTTGTCTGGAGGTCTGCACAAGGTGACTTCAGAACCAGCTCCAGCTCCCTGTTTTGTAACCTCATTGCACAAACTGCATGCAGACCCCCAGTACTCACCAGCCCACAGCAGGATAAAGACAGATGAAAATAATCTGCTCACCCACCCTAAGAAGCGCACAAAAGTAGCAGCTTGCTGAGAAGGTGGAAGGAGAGAACTATTCAGGTCTAGTCCAGTAACAGAGGCAGTAACTCCTGCACAGCAAGACACAGTCATGTTTCAGCTCACAGATCTACAAAGTGAGGAGTGGGTTGGAAAGAACATTGCAGTGGGGTGCCTGAGAGGGAAAGGTTTTCTTTACCTGATCAGTGCACCAGCACCAAAGAGCCAGCACGGAGAGGCCAAATATAAGTCCAGGCCAAGGAATGTCACCTGTGACTGGGTCCCTGAACAAATGGAAGGCATCCGCACGTGGGAGGTGACAGGTCGTGTTTGGGACTATGACCTTTGGAATCGCTGTGCTGTATTTCTCCTTCAGGCCTTCATACCAGCCAACTTTTTCAAATCCTGAAAAGAAAATACCAATGATTTAATGTTATTTCCTTATCTGAGTCTGATGATAGCTTTTCTTTTCACCTATCTTCCTCTCATCTCCTTTCTTTTCATTCCACCCTCACTTTTGGAAGTCAAAGTGTGTACAGGAGTAAGCTGGATTTTGCCCAGAGTCCTTGTGGTTTGAACAGCACATCCTGGAAGAGGATCAAGGCAGGAAAACCTCTGTCGTCCGAATCCTCACAATGTGCTCAGCATCTAGCCTTTGCCAATACACCTTCCGAGAACTGGAGCAGGAAGGCATGCAATTAAACAGGATATATCCATATTTCTGTTTGCCAAGGAGGCTTAAAGCAAAGACCAATGATGGTCAGTTCCTTGTTATTTTTTTATAATTCTCAGTTACGCCCAGGTGAATCCACAGTAATCCACAAAGTCAACAAGGAAAGTCAGCAGAGTTACTCTGAATTTACATGAGCATAGTGAGAGCTGAATTTGTCCCTGGGGATGCAGTTTTGCAAGCTTGTTGGCAGCTCCAGATAAGCTCCAACTGTCAAGATGAACTTATCCAGAACCTCACCACCATACAGTTAGTGCAAAGGACAAAGCAACTCTGGTTTGTTGGTGAATGAGAGTTGTACCAGCACCACTTCTGTGAATGACTGAAACTCATTTCTGCACTATACCTGAAAGGGTGAGGTGAGGTACCCCAATAAGGTCTAACGACCTTGGGATCATTAAACTACTGTATGATGTCACTGCAGATTCCCCTTACCTATGAACATGAGGACCAAAGCTCCCAGTATCATGATCAGGGTCTGCAGCGCATCTGTGTATATCACAGCTGTTAAACCACCTGTTAGGAAAAACAGTGAGAAAACAGTGTCCCCGCGTACATAGAAATAGGTATTCCACCTGGAAAAAGGCTTTCCTTGGCCCCATCTTTGTGATTTCAGAACAGATCCACTGGGAAAAGCTGGTACTGGGCTGGACCCCAGGACACAAACCCTCCCAGGAAGAACATGTTTAGGGGCTTGCCTATAGCTTATAGTGTTTATTTTAAAATTTGTTATTTACCAGCTATGGTGTAGACGGCAGTCACCGCTAGCAAGACTACAGTGGACAAGTAGAGGTTCCAGCCCAAAGAGATTTGGATGAACAATGCTCCAGAAAAAATGTCTGTCTGGAAAATAAATTCATAATAATAATAATTATAATAAAAGTCTGATGTTAGCTCTGCTTTGTGCAAGTGCAATCTCATAGAGCAGCCTGCAGCCCTTTGCAGATGAAAGCGTTGACAAGCTTCACTGACAGTGAAGCCACCCATGGTGAGCAGCATCCCATGTCGTGGGGACATCAAACCTGTGCCCATGTATCCACAGAAGGAAAGGTGGAAATAGCACAGACCATGTTCTGCCCATCACCATGTCCTGGTGGCCTGGAGTCACTCTCAGCTTGGAAGACCTCTGTAAAGTGTCACTGCTATCTTACACCACGTTTTATTTATCTGAAAAGGTCATCAACCTGCTTTTCTACTTACACTGTTCAGCATTAAAATGACTCCAGTAAAACAGGTTATACCTGCTGAGGACCTCCTTAGAAATATAGCAACCCCTACCACCTCTGTTTTGTTTGGACCTTCTGCCTGAGAGAATGAAACCAGAAACTGAGCGAAACCCAGAATTATACAGATAGCATCATTCAGATGTGGAAGGTGATACGGGAGATGTGTATGTGTTGGGAAATCAACCTGAAGAACACTTGTACACCTGGTATGGGGTGAGGTACAGGCAAAGACATTTGTAAAGCAAGACAGTAGGGATGGGACAAGATTCCTCTTTGCTGTGCCCCAAATAAGCAAGCATCCAGTGCTGCTCCTGATCTCTGTGATCCCGAGATGGGACAACCACTACCAGGGCACTACAGGAGCCAGTGAGTCTTTGACTTTCCAGCAGGAAATGCAACCAGCTCTGTAGCTACACAGGTTCAGTCCTTTGACAGCACTGTTTATTGAGATCTCTGCTTTTCTTTGCAAACAGGGAAGGACTCTGCAATGACCTAGCTGCTAACTTACACCTGGGCAGAATGCACAGGAAGAAAAATCCTTCTTGTAACCAACTGCCGGCTGTCCAGCCAGCCGCTAAATGAGCTCTCTACAAACAAAGGCACTGCTTAATAGAAAGCACCTGTCATGCCCATAAACTGCGCCAGCCACATCCGTCAGCCACGTGTGAATTAGCTGCACGGAGGAGAAACCACTGAGATGAAACAGCAATGACTGGGGCCAGGGTCCTGCCCTGAAAGGCATTGGCAAATTCTGCTCTGCCGAAGGTCATTTTGAAATATTGGTCTTTTTCCACCATGTGCATTGAGTGTGTAGCTGTGCACACTGTTGTGTTATTGCAGGAGAGACTTTCCATTTGTCCAGTTTTGCTCTAGACATCTCTTTCCTAGATGTCGTCCTGAGAAATGCTCCAACTGCAGAGAGCAAATCTCCTGGGGGCAGTGGTGGCAGCAAGGGGCAAGCAACATGACCAACAATTGGCCATTAGAGGATGAAATCTATCCCAGGCACCCAGCCCTGAGCCATCTTCCAGTGCACCCCCGGGGAACTGAGAAGTAATAAGGCTGGGGGAAGGACACTGAGGCTGGCTGCAAAAGGCACGTGGGTGCCTCATCTTCATTCAAAATCTTCTAAGGCAATTTGACATCTAAATACTTCAATGGAGTCTAGTCAAAACTGGCCAAAACAAAAATTTTCAGTCCCTGTAATGGGCTTTGAAGTACAGTCCTGTCCCTCCAAGGGCACAGGTAGTTCTTATCAAATCTCTGAACATATGTTCTACCTCTTTATTAATGGCATTTAAATGAAATGAAATACCCAACAGCTTACCTTGCATTTTAACTACCAACAGGGTACAACACTGCAAGCAATCCAGAAAGGATAATGAGTTTTATCTTAAGCTAGAACCTACCCCTTTTGCTATACCCTCCTTATACAACGCAAGTGACAGAGAGAGAGAGGAATAACATCCCTAATGCTGAAAACTCAACAAGAACAACAGCAAACTAATCACTAGGACTATGCAGATTTATGATCATTTAAGAGGATTTCATATCTACAGGATGTAACTCAGCCAGATGCTCAGATGGGGTAATGCTGCAGTTCCCCTGTCTAAATTACCAAAGGTTTGACTTGATGGAAGGGAAAAGGCAGGCTGTGGTACTTACACCATCTAGTAATTAGCTGCTATATCCCTGTAAAGTTCTCCCTGTGTATTGCTCCTTAATGAGTACTCTCTCTCTCAAGGTAAATCTCCATGATCAATGCAGAGGCAGGTATTTACTTGAGCAAAGAAGCACAAAACACACTGATATTGTTTCTGGTAGCTGAGCTGGTCCTTCGAAGGACATCTGAGCTATCTCTGCATTGTGCCAGGATGCCCTATCCCTGCCCTAGCCACAAAGGTTGTGTTCAATGGGATACATACGGATATCTTGGTGAATATATAGAGAATGAGGGACAGTACAGACATGTAGATTTGTATCCTCTGCCCTCCAAATCTCTTCTGCAAGGTACTCAGGCATGGTGACCACTCCAGCTGCAATGTAAACAGGCACAAAGATCCAGCCAAGAGCCAGAAGTGCCCAGGTAGCCTGATAAAGAAACAGAGAAAATAAAGGCATGTGATTCAACACAAGAACACAATTCTCATCTTCCCTTTCAGTGGACGACTTAAGAAAGGAGTGTGTAGTGCCATGCAATGTATTTGGGAAGTACTCGGATTTTTTGTCCCTACTCAGAAGATGAAATGACAAATGAAAGAATTATCACAATATATTTAAAAGTTTCCTTAAGTTTTCCTCTTACACCCCATGCTTCTTTGTCACAGGTGGCATATCTATTCCTTATCTGGATCTTTTGGGCAAGATGGTGTATTCTGTTGCTCTGGGTCTCTAAAGATCATGTTGTATTTGGTGGCCTTTGAAATCACTGACTCTGTGGCAGTGAATAGTTAAGTGATTCAGAGAAGGATTGGAGCATCTGTTTGTTGCTTGATTAGCAAGTGATGAGGCTGAGGCAGCAGCCTCCCTGCAGAGCATAAAAATAAGCAACAGCAAGACTCTGCTGGGATGTTCTCCTTTCAGGCTGAAGCAGATCTGCTTCTGTTGCGGGTAGATAAAGGGGCAGTTCAGTTGTTTTGCCACAGGTGAAGAGTCTTAAAGGCACCGTGTGTTTCCTTTCTGAAACCCAGCAAAAGCCCAGAATAGAGATCCAGAACATAAATAAAAGCCACTGGGTTACCAGACCTCACTTCCTGGATGTTCTGGACATTACCTTTCTTCCAAGTACCCTCCATTAGTCCAGATTTTACTTTGATTGGTTATTTAAGTTATCAGAAATGAAACTGAGCCCTGGGGACAGAGGTTGAGCGTGATTGAAGAGAACAGCCGTGGTTCCTGCAGTGGCAGAGATTGGCTTAGGTAAAAGATGCCCATATGATCCCCGCAGCTGAGTGATGTCCCTTGCCGAAGGGAGAGAATAATGGCATATCCTAAGGTCCCTTTCCAATCTGAAAGAAATGAATCTAAACTCATGAAGCTAGATTTGTCCTGACATACAATCTTGTCTTCATGGGCTTCTAAAATTACTTGAATAGATTTACTTAAAATACAGTGATATGTCTTACATATACCAGCCTGAAAGCAGGCTCAGGTTTCTTCACAAAGGACTTGAAGGTGATCTTAAGAGTTTAAAAAAAAATAAATAGCTGCAGTGAATAGATATCCCAGGAAAGAGCCTTTGGTGGGCTGGGCCCTGCCTGTGCTTGGCAAGTATCCGGCACTATTAGCAGGCTCTGCTGATACAGACAAGAGATTTAGAGTTAGGTGAGTGATGTTTATTGTGAGGCTGGCACTAATCTCACTCCTCATCACTGCAGCTGAGAAATTTCATTAGCATCACACACAAAGGGCCTGGTTTTCATGCTCTGTGTGGTGTCAGTGGCAATTTTCCAGGGCATTTCAATAGGGCAGAATGAGACTTGCCTTCGCACCCAGATGTTCACCCCAGAGACGTCACATTTTGGCAGCTGACAGGTGAATGCAGTGTTGCCAATTCTCATGGTTTTGCATTGAATTTAGGAGCACATGCTGTTTTTTTTTGTTTTGTTTTGTTTTGTTTGTTTGTTTGTTTGTTTTTTCAAAGTTCCTGTTCCCAGAATCCTGTGATTATCCAACTACATTTTCAGCATCTATTATCTTTTAATCTTGATGAGTGGTGACTAAAGCTTACAAAATATAGCCATATGCTTCCAGGAAGGTCAAAGAGCATCTAAGTGGATTCCACGTAAAACTAAAATAAAGACTTCATGTTTCTTAGGCTGTCTCAATATCTGGAGGCTTCCCTTCTGAGGTTTGAGAACCTGGCGTTACTGATACCGTTAGCATCAGGTTTTGGAGATGAACCCGCAGTCCCTTTGTAAACAGTGATGTTTTAGTTGACAAAATAACAGGCTCTTACATTCCACTCAAAGCCCCCAACAGCAAGGCCCCCAGCTGCTCCAGTGCCTGCCAGGCCAATGAGTAAGCCACTGCCCACGTTGCTGGACATCAAAGATGCTCCGATCTGAAACACACAGCACAGGCACACAACACAGAAAGTCATCCCAAGGAATTTCTCTGTTAGCCCAAGCACTTCCCCCAGGTGCTCCCTTTCCCCAGGATGTCATCTCCTTGCAGGTAGGTGGCTGGATGTTACTGGAGTTGGGTTTTCCTCCCCGAGAATCAGTGTTTGCTTTGGCAAGGGTTCTTCTGAGACAAACAGTCTGCTCTGGGGGAAACGGGGGGTGAGGGAAGCCTGGTGGCAGCCACAGATACCTCAGTGTCTACGAAATGTGATGGATTTCTCAATTCCCTTGGTACACAGCCAGCAATGTGCAACCTTGTTGACCCTTTGGGCTTTACCTCTCCACAGCTTGCAGACATCCCAGCCTCTTTTTTAAGTCCTGCACTGAACAAGCATGTGGTGGTTTACAAGGCCACGGCGACATGACCACCCTCTTGAAGCTCCTCCTAACACAAGATGTTCCTGAACAGTAGCAGGGACAATGTTGGCAACGTGTAGTCCTTTGTGTTTGTTGTGTACACATAGGTTCAAAGATATTCAGCCCTGCAGTAGGCTGGAAAATACTAATTCTTCAGGTTAACTTCGATGCTGTCCCTACCATGGCTCATTGACACCCTAATTGGAAGAATGCAAGCTCCAAGGCAATTTAAACTGGGCAAAGACTATATGACTTAATTAATACTTTAATTTGGCACAAAGCCTCACCTCCCTTCTGTATGCCAATGCCAAATCCCTCTCAGGGTCAAACGAGATGTTACCTAAAGTACAAGTCGAGCCCTTTTCTCTCCAGAGAAAATTTGCTTTCAGCTACGTCTCCTGTGAGGAATTTTTCTCTTAGCACTGCTAAACTTGAAACAAAGACTGATGGAATTTGATCTGCTTCTCACCTCTGAGCAAGGTAAAACATTAATATGGCATGAACACCCACACTGAATCCTGCCAACAGCTCTGCTTCGCGTCTGTCGAAGAAAACTCCTGATTAGAGAGCTGGCTGCTGCAACATGAGCTTGCAACTTAGGTAGGGAGTGGTGTTCTCAAGAACTGTAATCTGTTTTCCTGATATCTATATCAGACACAAAAATACAGAAGATGATATATTGTACAGGAGCAGCAATGTAACATCAGGGTTTATCTGAGGCTAACACAAAAGAGACCTGTCACCCCTGTAAAAAGAAATAGTACGTATAAGCCAGTCGTGTACTCAAGGTGAAGGCCACAAGGAACTGAGCCTGCAAGAAGTGCTGCAGAGTTGGCTTTCTACCTGGACAAACAACATAAGAAGTGAACAGTATTAGAGGTTGCTATGGACCTAGGACTGTAAATCAGAAGAGCCAAGAGCCAACCTGTACCCAGAGGATTCTGTGGCCACCTGTGGTTGGAGCAAAAAGAAATAAGAATTAAAAAAAAAAAAAAAAAAGAAGAATATTTTTGGGTGAAAAATACTCCATTTTACTGTTTTTTAATTATTCCCCTCCTAATTAGAAAAAAGCATCAAGTTGTGCATTTTCTTTAAATGTCACTTGGCTGAGCAAAAGTGTAAAGAATGTTTAAGAAATAACATATTTGAGAGACAGATGTATCTCTGATGGAAAAGGCTGAAAATTTAGCCTAGTGAATTTATGAGCAATACACATGCAAAGAAAAAAAAAAAAGGAAAAAAAAGGGAAAAAAAACAACAGTGTTTTGGTTGAGAAGTGCATTCTGCTACTCATGACTCACTAGAAAGATATATAGTGCTAGAGTTTGGCATTGGCTGAGAAGGATATTTATTCCTGTGGCATTTTTATTCCTTTCAAACTTTAAATTATCTTTATATGTACCTTTCACTCCCAAGAAAAGATGCCTTCAATAGATTTTTTTTCTTCATAGTGAAGATTTATACTTTGGTGGTTTGAAGTTTATATCCTTTACATCGTTTGTCAATAATCTCGACTTTACTCTAAATAGTAAGGGCTCAGAAAGTCTTGGGCTTTGGGATTATTTTTTCTTCAGTCTCTAAATGCTTTTTTTTACTGGAAAGCACATTCCTAGATTACCTAATGCTGTCTTGGCTTTGGGGACAATGGAATCTTTGGTGAGTTGGGGCCAAACACAACTAGGCAGTCAGAACTCTTCCACATCCACCAGCATAGACATTTTTACTGCTTACTTTAGCAGAGAAATTTAAAGACGAGAAACAACTGAAGATGCTGAACTATCTTTTTGGTCTGGTAGCACTATATTGCAGCTCACTGGCAAAGTTGCCTGGGATGATTTCTGGTGGATTCTCTTTGTCTCAGGGGCACAGAAAGTGTATGGATGGGATCCCCACAAAAGGCCTGCCCTCCTTAAATAGAGAATTACTTTCAAACCATGAAAAACAGAGGGATGCATTTCACTTACAGGCCACCAGGTCATGGATCGTCCAGCAAGGAAATAACCTCCAATGGTTCCCCGGCTTGCCCGTATCGACGACTGGAAACACAGGAGAAAGGAACAGCTTTTCCTCCATTCACCCACCCTCAGGTCAGACCCAACGCTCATCCCAGCAGCCCTGAAACACCCTGTCATTCCTTTCCAGCAGCCCTTTGCTTGTGTGCTTCTGCCTCTCTTCCTGCAGGCTTCTGGTAGTATAGGTTTGGAAAGAAGCCACTAGTACTTAGTTAATGTCTTCTCCTTGCATGTACACATTGAGAAGGAGAAAAATGCTGTAGATCTCTATAAAAGAGGCCTACACAAAGCAACATGAACGTATAATTGATAACAACTTTTCCAAAGCTTTTAACATCCCGTTTCAGTCTTCCCACCCTCAGCCCCAGCTTTCCTCTTGCCCTGGTCTCCTGCCCATGACTACTTTGCAGCACGGGAGGCAAGCACCTTCCTCAGGACAAGCCCCAAAGCTGTCCCCATGTGGGGATGGGGACTCACAGATATCGCCTCCCCGACCTGCTCAGCAGGGCCTGGGATAACGGTGTGTGCAGGGGATGCCTTTTGCAGGCAGGCACCTTTGTACCCAGCAGGGCAGTGGGGAGGGTCAAATGCTTGCAGACCTAACCCCAGTCACTTCAGGGACTCACCCATATCCCAACAGCGAGGACAAAGACGAAGTAAAAGACCACCACGATGATGTCTGCCACCCCAAAGACCGCCTTTGTCTCCCCCGGCAGCGCGGGCGGCTCCGTGGTGGCCGGGGTGGGCTGGCTCATGGCTGCGAGAGAACTGCTGATTTTCTCTTTCACACTGGACTTTGGCGCACGTTCGTCTTCATCGCTTCCCTTGTAATAATTAACAAGGTGGAGAAGGTGTGAGTGGGGAGCCCCGTGCTGCAGAGAGGCCCGACGGGCGGTCAGCAGGCAGGGAGCACACATTAAGCTGCGCATTCACTGCGCAGATAGCAACAGGGGGAAAGGCAGGAGAGGAGACAGCTGAGCCTTCTCGGCAGGCTCCTTGGCAGCAGCAAAGGAGTTAAGCTGCTTGCGTGACAAGCAGAGTCGCTGCCAGGTGCCCTGCGTGACACCAGGAAAGCTGCAACAGCAGCAGGAGCAGCAGCTGTCTTGGGCCACAGACAGGTAGGAGGGGGCCATGCAGTGACAAGCTGTGAGCCACCAGGCCCTCCTCCCCGTCCTGGCACAGCAGGGCCATTCCCCAGCTCCGTGGGATGTCTTGCTCTTCACTCTGTGACACTCAGGGTGGGCAGAACCTGTGCCTCCACCTCCCTCTGCTCTGGGACCCTGCTTAGAAGCACCAGGGGGAGGCCATCAAGGTCCCTGTGGGTGCTCGAGTTGATGGTCAAAACACAAGTGCTGGTGACAGGCAGATGGACGCAGCCCTGCAGGAGCAATCCCCTGAGCCTGGAAGACTGTGGGGTGGGGAAACTGTTTTTTCCCCCATCTCATCTCTGCCATGCTCAAATGTGGCTGCAAAGGTTCCTCCTGCCCCTGCCTGCAGCTGTCTCGCACCGCCAGCCCTCCGAGTCAGGGAGTGGGTCAAGCCACCCCCTGCTCCCTTGGGACAGCTCTGGGGGGGCTGCCCAAGGCTCCTTCTAGCGCCGCAAAGCTGCTGTGGAGCTGAAGCTGGCACAAGCCTTCTCCTAGAAGTCTCCAGACCTCAAAGCAGAACCATCTCTCACCACCCTGCCATGTTCTCTGCTGTCCATAGCTGCCTCCTCCCCACGAAATATCAAGTGGGACATTTTAAACTTATGCAAGCTTCATTTGCGCTTGATTGCGAGAGAAGCATCAAACCCACTCTCTCATTTTGTTTTATCCCCATCTCTCCCAGTGTTTCCTTGCAAATGCTGGCTACCTACTTGCTAATTAATTGCACTGCTAACGGACGGCCCCTGTCCTCCCCCGCTCCTGAGTCTGAAGCTCTCTGGGAGCGGTGCCTCCCCATAGTCTCATTATCCACAAGAGGCTTTTCAAGACTGAAATGTTTCAACAAGCTGAAGGAAAGTTACCAGAAATTAAATATCTGGAAGCCTAAATCCCCTGGTGCAAACAGGCAGCTCTCTGCGCACAGTGCTGATTTACACTCACCCACACACTTCCCTCTTAACATCACAGCACCCAAAAGCAAAAAAAGACAGTCTCTTAATCTTGAAATTCATCAAATTCCTGCCCAAGAATCAAACAAAGCCAGTATCTCCTGTCTTCCCAAAGCAGAAATCCTGCTCTCCGTGAGGAGCCCAACCCAAAGTCCTCACCCAACCCAACCCCTTTCACCCCACCATCCCAAAGCCCTGAACCAGCACCAATTAACACAGGCAAGCACTTGAAAGCTTGCGCCCTGAAAAGTAAGTACACCTTGCAAGCCATTCCCAGCAGCTCCAAGGTACCACAAGCCAGCTGAACCAACAAGCATGACATTGACTTCTGCCTGAAGGACCCTGCCAAGTGTTATTTCGCTGAGTGCACCGTCCCAAGCAATAAGGGCTGCCCCCTTGCTGGTGCAGCAGGGTAGGATGGCACTGCCTGCATCTCCAATGCAGATCATACCTTGAGCCCGTCTGTGGCTGTGCTCTTCTCTTCAGGGCAGTCCTGTGACCCTCCTGTTGCTGGTCCTGCTCATGCACTGCTCCCTGGGGCTGGCCGTGGAGGTGTGCCCCTCCACGCCCCCAGGGACACCCGTCCCTGTCCCTGCCCCAGCCGAGGGGATGACACATCCCAGTGACGTTCGCGTGGCTCCTGGCCCCACTGCAGGAACCCCGGGTGAGGAGCAGGTGCACGGCTCTGGCGGCCCCGGCAGCAGGGCAGCGCTTATCTCCTGCTCACCACGCTCTTAAGTCAACATTGGCAGGCATTCACCCCTGGGAGATGTGGCACTCCTTGCCCTGGGAATGGATGGGGCGGAGGAGGAATTCAGGTGCCCAGGAAACAATAAAAATTCAACACGGTGACGAACAAACAAGCAGGCATTGGAGTGAAAGCTATTACAGCAGCAGAAGCCCGGCGGGTGCCAGCAGGCAGGTCTCTATTGATTCTGGGGGGGGGGGGGGGCAAATTCGTTTGCTCCCATTTATCCGCAGGGGACATGGCAATGTACCTTGAGCACTCTGGTTAACTGCGGAGCACCCTCCACAGCAGGCAGAGCAGCTCAGAGCCTCTCGGTCATGTTGGCAAAGCCTAATTTTGCTTCCCCAGAGCCAAGGGACAGGATGACTTATTTCATCCTTGTTGGTAGTGGCTGCAGAAGAGCTGGGCATGGAGGGCAGGGGTGGGCTGGTGAGCATGGGGGACCCATGGCATGACCAGGATCTGGTGGAGAAGTCGGCTCTACTCATGGGGTAACGGGCACATAGGACTGAGCAGAGGTGGGAGATAGAGACCTCCACCTGCATCTCCTCCTCCTCCTGAAACACCTTTCCTTCTCCTTACGGAACTTGCTCCTTTTTCAGCCTCTCACGTGGGAGCATGGCTTGCAGCTGGGGGGCAGGAGACAGCCCCTGCAGCTCAGGTGGTGGGGTTAGGGATACCTCACGTGCCCCATCTCCTTGGCCAGAGCTGGTTCCATTACCACTGAGCCCTGCAGCCACAGCCTCCCCAGGAACCACAGTAACATTCAGAAGAGGAGCAGGATAGACCACAGAGGAGCAGCAATCCCCCAAACCCCACTGTTTAAGCAGTATCTCAGAGCTGCAGCCCACCTGCCGGAGCCCTCCTGGAGCACAGCAATGCGGCTCCATTAATGTGCTCTGCTCTCCTTGCAGTAAAAGTGACAGGACGTTTAGTGTCCTCTTGTGGAGTCTGTTCTCTGACTCATGTCACAGCAGCTGAGAATGAGCCCTTCAGGGACTGGAAATTATAAGCGGCGTTTCAAAGAGTGCAGCTCAAAAAAAAAAAAAAAAAAAAGTGCTGAAGAGCAAGTGCTTCTGGAGCAAAGGATGTTCGGTTAAGTGACAGGCAATTATTTTCGCAAATGTTAACGAATAAATGGACTTCCTCTTCATTATGAAGCTACTTCACAGTCGTCAGCAAATAGCTCCAATGACAATTAGTGAATTTCTAAATAGACTGAGGAATTAGCCTGTATACAGATAACAATGCAATGAGGCAAGACAATAGCCAAGCCTCTCTTCTCACCTTACCTCCTGGGGGGATTTTTTTCTGCAGGCTGGATGGGAGAGGCATTCAGCTAACCTGTATTTTCTTCTCAGCCCTTTCTCAGAGGGAATGACTCTCAAATAAAATCCCACAGTTTAATTTCGGTTTGATACGAATGAGCTTTAATGTATTTAATGTTTAAAGGCAAGCAACTCTGCCTGCTCCCGAGGAGCAGCCTGGTGGGGAGCAGGCAGGGGCAGCGGGAAGAGGAACAGACCCCCGGGAAGCCGCGGCGGTGCTACCACAGCTCTTTTCTTCCCTCTGCAGGCCAGACTCCGATTTTCACTCCTGGACTGTCCCATAAGCCTGGAGCAAGTCCATCAACTCTCCTTGCGTCGTTCTATTATTATTGTTGTTGTTGTTGTTGTTATTATTATTATTATTATTATTATTATTATTATTATTATTATTATTATTATTATTATTATTATTATTATTATTATTTTACCCTGGGGTGAGTCAGGGATAATTGCGATGAAGTCAGAGGTATAAATACCACACAGAAGAGCCAGGGAAGGTGCTGGTTTCAGTACCTTGGTAGGTTTCTCTACATGCCCATCTCACCAGGAGGGATGCTTGCACCTCCATGCATCGGAGGTGACACCTGCCTGCCCTTACTGTCACTTACCTGCTCCTCACTCTCTCCTGACCATCACCTGCAGCTTCTGCCTGAAAGCCGTGGACCACTGACCCTATCATCTGTGTATACATGTAGATTAAGGAGATCCTTGGCATACAGGGCAGTTTCAAGCTAGCACACGAGCTGAGATGCCCTGCGCCATGTGTGGTGCTACCAGACATTTTAGTCCTGGTTGAAATGAACATTTCTGTGAGTGGAGCCTCATCCCACCTGCTTTTTCCTCCAACTCCATCACCTGCCAACCTGAAGAAGGGTTTGTGCCTCTATGTTCAGCTGAGCTGGGAATCTGGGAATCTTCTGTGACTGCTGGGAAATCCAGCTGAGATGCCACAGGTGGAGTTTCAAGTTGCACTTGCCCAGAAAAATAATTCTAGGACCGAGTAGACTTAGGCTGGATAAAATATGTCATATTTACGGAGTGACTTTTCTGACTGAGAGCCAGACTTTGAAAGATATTAGCAAGGGTAAAACATTAAGTGACAGAACAAGGACACTTCAGATGAAGGATGTTGTTCTCCCTTTAATTTACTTCCCTGTACAGCCTTGCAAAGATCTCAGCAGAGTAAGTGTCCTTATTGATGGATACGCTATCCTTGTTAAGATAGGACAATATACTTATTTACAGCTTTCATCATTGTCACGATGGCACAAAGCAAACAGATATAACTAATGAAGATTTAGCTATTACGTAATGTCTTTGTCAAATCCATGCAGAAGTCTGGGTAAAAGCCCTGGGAATAAATCTTTTTTTCTAAGAGCATTTTCAGTGAATTTAAGACATGAAGGGATCTGCTTGTAGTTTATGTTAGGACTCTGGGTATTGCTTTTCTGAAAAGATGGTTCAGGTTTGGAGTGAAAATGAAGAGATGGTCTGAGAAACACCAAAGAAGAAGTGAAAGCTGTGCAGACCCTGCAATGTGGGCTGTGAATTACTGTGTTCATGGTGATGCTGCACGATGAGGCCATTGTGAACTGTGGCCACTAGCTACCACAGTAAAACGAAGATTAAAAAATAATGAATAAACCAGTAGAAGAAGTGGAGGAGCTGCCATAAGAACACATCCACCTTGTTTCTTCATTTCCGAGTGCCTCTGAAGACCACAGCCAGCCAAGGGGGAGGGCAGGAGAAGGCAAGTCTTGCTGCCAGAGTCCGTGATGCTCCACAGCAAAGCAGGTAAGCTAATGCTTCACAGCCCCTGCAAAGGGTATGTGCGTTATGTATTTCAAGTACAACCGGTTTCCCTTGATGTTGTCCTCCAACCTCTTGTCTGAGAACCATGAGGAACTTAAACCAATACTGTAAAAAGCTGGAGGTGGTGCACGATGACCTGGAAAGCTCCTCCAGGACAGGTGAAGGGATGGGCTCATACCCATCCCTCTTCCCCGGTATGATCTTGCACAACCCTCTTCCAGATCACACAGCAGGGAACAAAACAGTCATTGCTGAATGATTTTGATAAGTGTTCTGCAAAAAAAAGCACTCCCTGTGCACAACTAAAAAGCGATGCAATGCATTTAAATTTTCACTGGGTGGCCCATTTCAAGAGAAAAGGCTCCACAACAAACCCACAAATGTCAACAGCCGGCGTGTTTTGGAACTCCAGATTCAGACAGGTATCGGCAGCTTTGATCCATCTCTGCTTGGTGACTGTTTAGAAAATCCTTCTTCATGTCAGGGAAAAAATGGCAAAGAAGATTTATATCCTTCATCTTAGAGTTAGGAGTTGGAATAAGGACATTCTTCCTTCTGACAGATCAGTCAATGTTTGTGGGCTTGGAGGTGGTTTTCACTGGGAGGCAAAGTGTGGTATGAACCTGCTTGTTTAGAAAGACTGAAGTCCAGCAGAAGGAATCAGGGACAAGTTTCTTCCCAGCTGGCACTTTGTCCCAAAGCTGTGCAGGCCTTTTATTAAAATTACACTGTATTCCCCATGGTCTTCTGGGCTCCTTTGTTCCCTCCCTCATATGCAGCTCCTCACGCAGTGTCTGTTTGCATGGGAGGACCCAGGGAAATCATATCTGCATACACCATTTGGCTGCCTCCCCTCCCTTGAATGCAGTCTTGAGAGTCTGGGGCAGCAGCTCTTGCTCCATGAGCAAGCCTAACTGCTTGCCACATCGGAGTGAAAGACGGTCATATTTCATGTCACCTCTCTGCAGTAACTGTGTTACAAACTCTCACAGAACTGGAAATGAGATCCACATCTTCTGAATCAAACCCTGCAACAGCAAGACCCTCTGTTTAGCTCCAGCAAGATCCTTCTGCAAAGCCTGTCGATCCATTTCTAGTTGGGATGTTTTTCCAAACCAAGCTGGACAGATAAGATACAAATTATTTTCTTCCCCCCAACTAAAAAGGAGCGTTTTTGAAGGATGCTGCATATCCTATGACCAGCTGATAAAACAGATGCCAAAAAATGCTAAGGATGAGGGATATATACGAAGTGAGTACAGTCTTTCGAGTGACTATCCCTAAGGAAAAAAAGCAGCAAGGAAGGCAGAGCTAAAATGGTTGCTGAAAGAATGAAAAAAATCAAACTTAATGGTTTGTTACAGTTTGTGGGGACTGAGGAAACAAAGTCTGGAACTAAAGGAGTTGTCAGGCAGTGAGATAGGGTTACATTTCCTCCACATGGAGCCTGCAGTGCTGGCTTGATTAGGCGAAAGAACTTGGGATCGCTACAGAGAAAGCCGCCTTGCTCCCTGTCAACTTGCAAAAGCTAATCAGCATCCAAAGTGACAGCTCCCTCCAGGGCCAGATTTCTTAAAACAAAACTAAAATAAAATAAAAATAAGAAGTCTCTTTGGTTGAGTTTCAAACCTAGCTATCCTACCAAAAGAAAAAAAAAAATAAAAATTAGAATGAAATAGAAAGACTGTGACATTCTCCAGCAACACCCCCAACACTAATCCGCACCGTGATAATAACTTATATGACTCCTATACCTTGCTCAAGCAGCTTGTATCCTGAGGAATACATCAGACTTGATAAACTACTGC